TGATTTGTGACAATATAACTTTTCTGCATATACCCTGATTTGGGTTCAGTGTATATAACAAAAGATCCAAAGTTTAGCGGGACATTCCCACTCACATGTGTGGAAAGGACATAAACCTCATTGTAACATATCCCTGTTGTAACAGTGAGATTTTACGCCAAAACAAATTTAAGGGGTTGGTAAACACACAATTTGATTTTTTTTCTTTAAAACATGGTTTTGCCACATTTTTATTTAACTTCCATAGTTTAGCAATCACAATCAACTCTAAAATTGCAAATCACTGTGTTTATTTTAATGGGGTATGTGAAAATTATTAGGGAAGGAAACAGATTTTTGTTTATTCCATCCCATGGGCTAGTTACAAATTGTAGGTGCAGTTTTTTAAGTAGCTTGTCTTCATTAATTTAGACTTGCATTTAAATTTGATCCATATCTTTCCTTCCCCAATTTCCCCATGTATGCACTTTCAGAGTCCCCTTTGGGAATATTGCTTGTGGTATCCTCATCACTTTCACTCTGTTCATGCTGTTGTTGCTTGGGAAGTGCTATCTGCAGCAACACAGGCAGTATTCCCAAGTCCTCTGCCCAGCCCTGCTTTCCTCAAGGCCCTTGTTCATTTCTTTCTTTCTAGTGGATTATTTTACTAGGCCTCAATTCCTGCTTCTCTTGCTCCTTAGATAATGGCCCCACGTTATCAACTCCTACCACATACACTTCTTCATATTTGGTTTCCCACTTCCTACCTGCTGGGTGCTTGCCTGCTCCTTGGATCCTTCGCTGGTTCCTAGCTGTATCCTATCAGTCTCTAGAAGCAGTCTCCTGATCTTCAGGCCTGGCTCCTACCTCCTCCTGGGTCCATGGCTACCTTCTGCACTCCCCGAGTTCCTTGTTTTTTTATTACACTCCTGAAATAACTGCTGTTCCTGAGGACAGTGCCTTGAGACAGGCTTCTTTTGCACTCATGATGGGAGGTTGGTTGCTTTCTCGGCTGGAACAACTCCTCCTTGGTCTATGGGAAGAAAGAGGTGGCTCCTTTATACAACATGGCTCCTTGTACTCTTCTTTCCTTCTGTCAGCCTCCTGGCCACAGCTGCCTCAAGGGAGTAGAATCTGCTCTTATGTTCTACCAGGAAGGGCAGGTGTGAGGATCACAATTTAGAAATCTCTATGCTAATGGTTACTTTGTCTTTCAATATTTTTATGTTAATATTCAGGAGAATCAGTGTTGGCATTCTCTTTGTTCACCCAACAGTGACTTCAAAGAAGGAATGTGTAATAATTTAGCAAAAAAGCGACTGAGCTTCAAAATGATAAAGGAAAGGAACACATTCATTGTGTGAAGCTAACTAGCAGGTGACATGAAATGTTTTGTTAGCCATACTAATCCTTCCCGGCAGCCAGAGATGGATGCTAGCTTGGAATGTATCTATTGGTTTGAAATGTTGACTGGTTAAAGCCAATCTGGAGCTGGAATTTGCCTTGCGTGGAAGGGTTATCCAAACTCCTGGGTTAAAAATTATCTGTCTCAAAGGGTTGATGATAACACAGAGAGAATGGATTCAACAGCTGTATGTGGTGGCTGGCTCTTCTATGTTACTGGGCTACTAGCTCCTGAAGGAAGATGCTGTTGAAAGAAAAATACTTTCTGGACTAGGAATCTAGTTAAGGAAACAAGCATGTACTTGTTTATTCTTCCTGTATTTAATTACTGCCAATGTTGGTTTTTTTTGTTTTGGTAACTATGCTGGAAGCTTGGTGGTTGTTTTCTGAGACTACAAGTATTTAGTCCATAATTTTGTTATTTAACTAAACCTATTTACTTTTGTTTTTTCTTTCCCTTAGTAATTGAAAAGAGAGGAGAAATCTGTTTAATCTGACAGCCTCTGAAATGGGCTATTAAACATCTTACCAGGATCTCAGACTTTAACAATTATACTAGGAAAAAAGGGCTAATATGGTGGCTACAATTCTATTTTGGGTTAAACTGTCCAAAAGAGAATTCTCCGTTCCTTTGTTGTGTTTGGCTAATGGGTTCTTATTGGAGATGAGGATCCTGGTATTAGGCCTTTTTAACTGGTATTTCCTAGGTCCTGATGCCTGTATTACACAGCCCTGAGGAATAGAATCATTTTATATAATAGCTCATTTATTTTCTTTCTTTTTGAAATATAGCTGTATTTTTTACCTTGAACTCTCCCATGTGTATAGGATATTTTGAGAGTTGCAGGCTTTTCAATTACAAGAATCATGTCAATTACATACTTCTGCCCATAGTAAGCAGCAATTTAGGGCCTGTCTGCATTGCCCCACAGTTCATACTAAGGGGATGTGACTAGCAGGGCACACCAGAGTGCTGTGCTATAATTTCTCTGTGTGGACGTCCAAACTCAAGACCTTATAAGTTTGTGTACAGACGGGGGAGTTAGAGTGCAGCACTTTGGTGTGCTCTGACCTTCATATCCCCTTAGTCTGAACTCTGGGATACTGTAGACATGCCTTCAAATAGCAAGGGCAGTGTAGGGAAGGAGCAGCAAACATTCATTTTAATAGACTGGGAGATCTAGAAATAGACTTAATGACAGAGGGCAGGAGCTAAAAGGGGGAGGATAAAAAGTGGTGGTGCACCTCTTCTTAGGTTGGAGGGGGAGCAAGAGTGGCATTTCCTCAAAGGGTGCATCTATGCTCCAGTAAAAAACGCATGGCACAGCCTGTATTGGCTGACTCAGGCTCAGGCTGTGGGGCTGTAAAATTGCAGTGTAGATGTTCGGACTTGGGCTGGAGCTCAGGCTTTGAGACCCCACGAGGGGGAGGAACTGAGAGCTTGGGCTCCAGCAAGCCCAAACATCTACACTTCTATTTTTAGCCTGAGCCAGCTGACCTGGACTCAGACTCAGTACCATGATTTTTGCAGTGGGGCCTGGGCGAGGAGGACAGGCAGGAGGGAAGGAGCTTTTGGATCAGGGATGTGCTGTCAGAAGTGCTCAGTAGAAAATAGAAACTGTATCAGAGCCTGCCATCTCATAAGATATTGGGGCAACTTTGATGGTATAGTCTTTCTAGTGAATTATTCTTTGAGGTGACATAGATGATCTATGTGTATATAGACTTCAGTATAGTTATTAGCAAAAGCAACACAGTTTAGTGCTGGTGTGAAGTAGCTGTTGGTTGTTTCTCTTCTCTTCTGCACCTGTTTCTACCCACCTGAACAGTGGTTGTCTCTAGGGCTTCACTGTCTTCAGCAGTCTGAAGAGTCAGTGTTATAGACGCTGAAGTACTGCTGTGTGGGCATTGGGAGAATTCTACTGTGATTAGGTGGTGGGTGAGGGTGGGGAGGAGTGCTGCTTCACCCCTTCTGTGCCAACAAGGAGAGAAGATGCTTGAACTTCCTCTCCTGGATCTGTTACTTGCTTTATAGTCTTGTTCAAATCACTTAGGGCTTGTCTACGCTTACAGCGCTGCAGTGACATAGCTGTAGCGCTTATTGAAGATGCTACCTTCGTACAGCAACAGGAGAGTTTCTCCCATCGGCGCAGGTATTTCAGCTCCCCGAGAGGCAGTAACTGTATCAATGGTAGAAGCTCTCCCATCAACATAGCGCTGTCTACGCTGGGAGTTAGATTGGTATAACTGTGTTGCTCATGGGTGTGGATTTTCCACACCCATGAGCAATGTAGTTATACTGATATAAGTTTGTAGTGTAGACACAGGCTTAATCTGGGTTTATAAATTTCCCTCTATACAAAATGGAGATAATACTACTCTGCCTTTCAGGGTAATGCTCATCACCTTGAAGAGGTAGAGTACTGTGTGTGTGTTTGTTAAATACCTTGACTCTAAGAGAAAACGGTTCCATTAAGTTTTTAACCTTTCACACATCAGGTGCTGTTAAATTATAGAGGTGCCAGTTGTGGATCCACATTTTAAGGTTAAGTTGATTTTGTCCTTGTAGTAGTTTGAATCCCTGTTTTATTATGCATGGGGAATACAATATATCTTCCCCAAATTTACAGAACATTTTGGGTACTAATGCATTTTCTTAGAACTTACAAACCCATTACAGTTAAAATTAATTTTAAAATAGGTATTTAAAAAAATTTAACACTGTCAGGCCTTTTTTTGTCTTTAATGGTGGTGGTAATAGAATAACACTGACAACTTTTAATGTACTTAAAACAGAAATGTTGTGCTTAGATTATATTTGAAGAAATTAGTTAATCCTGAAAATCAGGCTCTCGAGATGCCTCACATTGGTCATTCAAAGTCAGTAATTACTTTTGAAAATCTTGGCCCTGATTTCTGAGGAACTTATAAATAACTTCCCCTCTGGGTAATATTAGCATGAAGAGTAGTTCAGTGTATGAAAATTTCCAAAGCAATTGATGCAGTTAGTTTCTGTGGTAGTATTTCACCCTTACTATTGCAGGAATGTTAAATGAAGGTATTTAGCATATATACTGCTATACCTATATGTAACAGGATGAATAAGAGATGGGATATTGGTTTGTGATGGTCTCAATGGTTAAAAGTTTGTGCTCATGGGAAAACCTTTTTTGGACTCCGGAGTAGTATAGAAGTATAAACTGCAAGATCAAGCTCAAACTGATGATGATCAGGTTCATTAACTTTAAGTCAAACTACAGTTCCCTGGGTTTCAGATTGTTTCCATGAAATAGTTTAGAATTTGGGAATTAATGTGTACCTAGTTTCATAACTGGTAAGTCAGACACAGATGAAATCTTCTGACAACAGCCGCTAAATCCATGGATGGGGCTTTTAAAAAAAAAAAAAAAAAAAAACTGACATTAATTGTACAATTTCAGACATTGGCTTTCAAGTCAGTAATTGCATTGTTGAAGTGGCTAATCTCTTGATTTCAGGCCTTGTTATAACACAATCTTGATTGCATGACCATTGCCAAGAACCTGCATTGATTGTTATGTTGACTGACTTGCTTGCTTCTTTCAGAATTTTTTTTAATGTTTATTTTCTCTGTTTAGCTCTTTTCACTCATGGAGATGAAACCTCCTATCTCCCGAGCAAAGATGATTCTCATTACTAAAGCTGCCATTAAAGCTATTAAGGTAAAGAAAAACAGAAAAAGACCACAAATTCAGACCATACCAGTAGCATTATTTTTGGATTGTACTTGATTTCTAAAAAATGCATATCTTTTACATGATTTCTAAAATTTTATAGCTTGGTAAAGATTTCTTTTATTTGACTTTTGGAGGGTTTTTTTCCCCAAAGGAAAGTGAGTGAACGTTCTTTATCTTGAGTTATGCTGCCAGTATCTCTGCAAAACCGTAACACCAACTTGTTTTTAAGAAAATGACATTTTCTGATGCTATGGTTTACAGTCTTGTTATGATTTGTATATGATAAAATCAAAATGTTGTGACATGTAACTACATCCCATCGCATCAAATTTAACAAAAAAATGTAAAAACAAAGGAAAAAGTACTTGTCACAATAGTACTGCCTTCATGTTATGTATGTGTGATGTGAGATGCTTCCAATGGCAAGGTCAGTTTTATCCATGAAAACTTTTTAAGGAATGTTTGAGATGAAGTGCATCACACACTAGAATATATTTGTTTTCCTAATTGTTAATATGTACAAAAAATTAAAATACCTCTGAAATCATACATCACTGATTAAATAGATCACATATCTCTTTTCCAGCTCTACAAGCATGTAGTACAGATAGTAGAGAAGTTTATCAAAAAGGTAAGTGCTTTTATAGTATTTTTAATATTTAATATTTACTTAATGGGATCCTGGGCACTTAAACATCCACAGCTCTATCACTGTTTTTTATTAGCTACAGTAACTCCTCACTTAGTCGTCCTGGTTAATGTTGTTTCGTTCTTACGTTGCTGATCAATTAGAGAACATGCTCGTTTAAAGTTGTGCAATGCTCCCTTCTAACGTCGTGTGGCAGCCGTCTGCTTTGTTCACTGCGTGCAGGAAGATCAGCCCATTGCAGCTAGCTGGTGGTGGCTTGGAACCAGGGTGGACCAGCAGCCCCCCTATCAGCTCCCCACTCTCCTAAGTTCCCTGTGCAGCAGCTGCCCAGCAAGCTATCAATTGCCAGCAGTTCAGCTGTCCCTCCCCCCATTGCCATGTGCCTCTCCTGCCCTCTGCCTTGGAGCTGCTCCCCGAGACTCCTCCTTGCTGTGCGGCGGGGAGAGGAGGAAGAGGGGGGCTGATTAGTGTCCCCCTCTCCCCTGCTCCTGCACCCTGCTTACCCCATCTTCCATAGAACAGGGGGGGACACACGACAGGGCTCAGGACGGAGGGAGCTTGCTGGAAGCAGCTGCGGTCTCAGCAAGCTGATCTAATTAACAAGGCAGTGTACTTAAGAGTATGGTCAGCATACTTAAAGGGGGTGTGTGTCTCTGTCTGTGATGCTGTCTCCCCTCCCTCCATCCCTGCTGCCTTGTAGAGTGTGGGAGTTAACCCTTGAGGGCTCAGCCAATTGCTAGTTCATCATTTAGCAGTAAGGCATTCCCTGGGAAATATCCCACCCTCTGATTCCTCCACCTCAACCAAGCTTCACAATCATCATCACTGTGTACCAGGATTAAATTGTTTGTTTAAAACTTATAGTGTGTGTGTGTGTGTGTGTATATATAATATAGTCTCTTGTCTGGTGAAAAAAATTTCCCTGCAATCTAACCCCCCCGTTTACATTAATTCTTATGGGGAAATTGGATTCACTTAACATCGTTTTGCTTAAAGTCCCATTTTTCAGGAACATAACTACAACGTTAAGTTAGGAGTTACTGTAGTAATACTACAAGTATTACCTAAGGCTGCTTACTGTACTGAAAAATCAGAAAAAAACTCTGTTTTTAGAGAGAACTTTTTTCAGCGTTTTTTTTCTTTGTGCATTTGACAGCAATTTGTATATAGTCAATCATTTCCCTCTGTTCATGTGAGTCTTTCATACAGCATCAGGAGATTGAAAAAAAAGTATGATTGTAAAAACCACAGAAATCATCAGTGGGATTTAAGGATAGATATAGTGCTTGAAATGCAAATTCTTCTAATTTTTCAAGTTGATTGTGTCTTTTTACTACTACTGTTATGATTGATGTTTCCAGAAAATGTAACTTACAGACCCTGGTGCCTGGAAACTTAGAAAAATAGGTTAAATACATCACCGTCCACAAAAGTAGACCAACAGGCATGTTAATTTAAGTTCCATTAGACAAACCTGAAGAAATAGCAATATATGCCAAATGAAAAAAGGCAACATCAGAAGGATAAATACTTTTTTTTTTTCAAGCATCTAATTAATTCTAAATTAGTGGAAGGAGACTGAAAAGTGAGTGAGAGCTAGCTTGATGTCCCAGTGGTGGTGGTCTATATTGGAAAGTAAGAGAGTTGTGTTCAGGTCCCAGACCCTGCTTCTTAAGGCAGCAAAGGAGACAGTGCATCTTTACTACATAAAGGCACACAAACATCTTTCCTCTATTCTGCCCTAGGTCCCAAAGTAACTCCTTCCTCCCTACCTCTGCCACCAATTAATTTTAGTTACATTTAGAAACATTACAGGACATAATGCTTATGTAGCACATGGAAGTCGTCTCTTTTTTACATTCTTGATTTCTACATTTGCTCATTTAAACAATTTTCATTTCACAGTATCTACTGTTTGTGGTCCTGCTTTCTCCAAGTTATTCCAACCTTTTTTATTACATTCAACAGAACTAGCTTTTTGCATTATTAAGATCAATATCTCATGCACTACTTCCTCTTACATATTTATCATCTTAACTCATTTCAGTCCTTACATTGTCCTCCCCCCCAAATTAATTAGTATAAAATTGATTTAAATAGTAAAACTTTTGCTGCATCATGTGTATAAATAGGCTTGCTGCAGTTCATTCTTTTTCCTGTAGGTTGTCTTTCAATTAGTGGGAAGGCCTAGATAGTTATTGTTCATGATTAATCATATTTTAAGTATTTGCTTTATGTAAGTGTTTTTATTCAAGTTTAAATTGTATTGCCATGCCAGTCTTTCTCAAAGATAAATATTTTAACTACTTTGTTTATCAGGGTACACATTACTAACACATTTTGCTATTAGATTTAGTAGTGTTAGACATAGCTCCTTGTACAGCCCTATAGTACTGGTAAAAAAGAGAACTGTAAATAGTAGAATTCAAGTTTTCTATTGGGACCTGCAGGAAAATATTAAGTACAAGGTGCAGGTTGCTTGTAGCGATTCTGAAACCTATTGGGGCATTAGGGGGGTTATGCTGTTAATACTATATATGCTACCCTGCAATAACTGGGAACAATCTATCTTTTCAGTGCAAACCAGAATATAAAGTCCCTGGATTATATGTTATTGACTCTATTGTTCGTCAGTCTCGTCACCAGTTTGGAACAGACAAGGATGTTTTTGGGCCAAGATTTTCTAAAAATATAACTGCCACATTCCAGTATTTATATCTCTGTCCATCTGAAGACAAGGTATAGCTAAAACTTCCTGAATGTTTTGAATTGCTGAATTCTTAATTGTGTGTTCCTGCTTATATGAAAGCTAATTTGGTGGTTCTCTGCCTTGACTGCAATGCCATAGTCGTCTTTGTGTGGGTAGTGGTAATATTAGAGGTAATACTTCAGAGGAGATCCTGATGATGATAAATTCTTTTTTAACTTATTCTCTGTTCTTTGTGTTCATGTCTTTGTCCAATTGGAGACCATGCCAAAACTATTTACTTTGCAGGGATCCTTCTCGTGAGGGACTTGTTGCAGTTGATTGGATTGGTAGCTGAAAGAAATGCAGATAGTCTTAGGCCTGGTCTACATTAACCCCCCAAGTCGAAGTAAGGTACGCAACTTCAGCTACGTGAATAACGTAGCTGAAGTCGACATACCTTACTTTGAACTTACCGCGGTTCAGACGCGGTCCACACGCGGCAGGCAGGCTCCCCGTCGACTCCGCGGTACTCCTCTCGCCGAGCTGGAGTACCGCAGTCGACGGCGAGCACTTCCTGGTTCGACTTATCGCGTCCAGACCAGAAGTGATAAGTCGAACCCAGAACTTCGATCCCCAGCCGCCGAACTAGCAGCTTGGTGTAGACCAGCCCTTACTCTTCCCCTCCCCCCCCCCTTTCAAAACTCTGTTCTAGTATTTTCTTTTCACTTCCTTTCACTCCCTTTTGTCAGACTTTCCTACTTCACTTCTGCATTTTTGTTGTCTTTTTCTCACCTTTTCTTGGCTCTTCTCTGCCTTCCCCTTCTGGGATTCTTCCAAAGGCCACATCAAACTCTCCTGAATGGCCGTATGACTGGATGCAACTCTTAATTTTCTATCACTGCTATTCTTTTGGTTTGCCAGAGGAGTTTGCTAGAGAGTGGCACAAGCTCTTAGTGTATCCAAAAAAAAAAGGGGGGGAGGTCCAGTAGTGTGGATCCTGCTAACCTGTGCAACAAGTAATCAAGCTGTGTCTAAAACTTGAACATGCTACAAGACCACTGATCCAGTCACCCAGTTCTTTATGTGCAAGAACTAAATTTAGAGCCTGTGCATTAGGAATATTTTGTTCTATATTAATACTTTCTTTTATTTGAACAGAGTAAGATAGTTCGTGTCCTGAACCTTTGGCAGAAAAATGGAGTGTTTAAAATAGAGATCATTCAGCCTCTCCTGGATATGGCAGCAGGAACTAGTAGCGCAGCCCCGATGGCAGAAAACGCTACAAATAATGAAGGTACGAATGTCAGTACAACTTGTAAATTAAAAGTTATGGAACCAATGACTTGTTACTGTTTGGTACACTAAGGTAAAAGTACCTCATGTTTGTAAACCAAGTTCACTAGCACACTTCAAAATTCACTTTTATCACAAAAATTATATAGAAGAATCTGAACACATTCTGAATAAATGTTGCTGCTGTATATTTATACATATGTTATTGGAAATTATTGAAATTTGAGCTAATATGGCTTTGAGTCTTTCCATACAACTAAGTATGTATAGACCTATTGGGTGTTGATAGTAATGTTCCCACTAAAAATGACTTCCTTCTTAATTTTCTTCTTGTATCTGTGAGACTTTTTATTATTTCCCAATGTGTAATTCTATGTTCCTTTTTAAGCATCTGGTTCAGTAAAGTATGGAACATCTTACAATGGAGAAACTTCATGCCTTAAAGTATATAAAAATATTATTACCTACACAGCATATTTTTAGTGACTAGTATTTGTTGCAACACAAAAATCTTGAGGCAAGGTTATTTAGACTGCATAACGCATTGGTGTAAGCCATAAAATGCAAGAAAATAATTGTCACTCAACACCCCACCTATTCTCCACTCTCTGGTTCCCCTTCTCAATTTTTTGCCTTCTCTGAACTATCTCCTTCCACCATCTGCAGCACACATCTCCATCCTCATCCTGAATAATCAGTTTGTACTTCTGACACCCCTGATACAGGGTTGGTGTTGAATGGTGTGCAGTAATTGTACATGGTTTAAATTGGTATAAGTGAGGCATGGTGTCAGCTCACAAGATTTCTGTGAAATGTTTTTCAATAATGTTTAGGAAGACATCACCTATTGTCACTTTTCCTAAACATACAGAAAAACAGAGCTCAGAGACATCACTTGCTATGCCTAGTAACTCACTGACAGCCTTGCAAAACTCACTCCGAGATGTGACCCTGATCTGTATTTTTTTCTTTTCCTGTACTGCCACTGGTAACTAGCAGACCAAACTCCTTTCCCTCAGATTTAGCTGTGCAATCTTACTGATTTCAGAGGGATTTCATAAGTGTAATAGAGGGAGTAATTTTGTCCCTACAGTAAACCGTTCTGTTAATGCATTACAGGGAATAGAATCCAGCTCAGTCAGAGCACTGCAGAGCCTATCCAGCAAAGAGTAAAAAGTAGTAAACTTACTTGTGTCCCCTAAGCAAGCCATGTAACTGAATACACACCATGAGCAAGTCTTGAGATGTAATTTTTCTGAGCAGAATCACACTCTTGGAAACATTACAAAACATTTAATCTTGCATTTGCCTTCTGGGAAAACAAATTTTTCAGAATGTTGTTTGCTTTCCCTTTCTGCAAGTCAACACTGCAGTTATTTAAACTGTCAACAGATCCACAGGTTCATAGAAATAAGTCCGGCATTGTGATATGCAATGTTGTTGTAGCTGTGTTGGTCCCAGGATATTAGAGAGATAAAGTGGTAATATCTTTTATTGGACCAAGTTCCGTTGGTGAGATAGAGAAGCTTTCAAGCTTACACAGAGCTCTTCTTCAGGTCTGGGAAACTTACCCAGGCCTTGTCTACACTACAAATTGAGTTGACCTAAGTTAGGTCGACATACTGTGGTGGTTCATGTCCACAGTATGCTACCTCTGTCAGAGGTGCGCGTCCTCACCCGGAGTGCTGTCACTGATTTAACTTTTTGGGGGCACTGACAGATGGAGCCCCCTTACCCGCCACGGGGCTAACAGCCCACAGGTGACGTCAGTAATGCGAGACCTGAAGAAGAGCTCTGTGTAAGATTGGAAGCTTGTCTCACCAATAGAAGTTGCTCCAATAAAAGATTATTACCTCACTCACCTTTTCTCTCAGATATTTTGAAGCAGGTGAATTTGCGTCATTTTCCCACTTACGAACAGTATAGTAATATCTTTACTGTTTTTAATTTTGTATTGAACCATAATAAGGAATCTACTAGAGTTCTCACTTTTTTTCCTGATACTTAGTGTTTAACCGTATCCATTACGTATAAAAGGGTTGAAGTTTATATTATTTCAATGGAAAAAAAAGCGCATTTCCCAATAAAATGTATTTATATATTTACAATGTATAGGAATTGTGGATGAAATGTATCTGTTAATTTATTTTCTACCACTAAAACATTTGTGTAAGAATTAAGTGCAGAGGGCAGGCACTAAAAAACCAAAGTCCTAAACATAGCTTTTGCTATTAGATTTTCCTTATATTCCTATGCATATATTAAAATATGTTGAACTGATCACATAGTTTTATTAAACCCATTGTGAATGTGTCCTTTCCTAGAAGTAGTAGTATGAGATGTTTTTGCATTAGAGAACTTAATCTTCTATATATGAAGTTTGGCTTGTACTACTGCTAGTTCCTTCTGAAGCAGTATAAGAAATATATACCAGGAAAGAGTTGCTCATAAGAAATAGATTAAATGAGATTTTTAAGAGAAACTAATCACTTGAACAAATGGCTGATAGCCATAACAGATCCTGTAATAGTTTCTGCATGGCTCTGTCTTAGATGGATGAATCATGAAAACTTTGTTTCTCCTTAAATAAACCATTGGATAGGAACCTAGAATAAATCATTGAATGAAAGAATTATTTAATAGTAAAAACTTAAACTTTGCAATTGGAACTTATTTTACAAGTGTATTGATATGCAATGTTTGGTGCTATTTCAGTAGGTAAGTTTTCACCTTCAACTCCTCTAAAAAAAATTGTAATACTATAAATGGAACATTGGGTCAAAGTTTCATGCATTGGACTCCCTCCTATGAGATCCAATATTCGTAGTTTTTTGTCATTGAATACAGAGCATGCAGGTGCTAGATAGTAAATGGGATATCTAAAGGAACGTTAGAGCATGTTGTCAGGGCTAGTTCACAGTGGTATAAACTGGAATACAGATGCATTGATTTGGCTGAATTTAATGTACATCAGCAATTCTTTTGAGCGGGATAGCTAAGTTTACAAAGTAATGAGTATTATCTCTTCATTGGAAGGTAAAATATTTTATATTACACACGTGGGCTGTTAGTACCTTAAATTGTAGTGGACTGGTTTTCAATGTAATTCTCTTGCAGGTTCACCACCCTCTCCAGCAAAGGTTCTATCTGAACCCACCCAAGTCACTTCTAATTCAGTACCTACTGTATCACAATTGCCTAGTTCAGATGCCTTTGCAGCTGTAGCTCAGTTATTTCAGACAACACAAGGACAACAGGTAAGCTATCTGTATTTCCGTTACAATTGTAATTTTAATTCTCTCACAAATCACCTAACTTAGTTACAGCCGTTGCTTCTACAGCCTTGATACAAAATCTATAATAATACTGTACCCCTCCCCTCCCCCAAATAAAACCCTTAAAAATACGGAATTTAAGAGTTAAGGTAACTTATTTGAACAGTCAATGGTCTTTATGGGTAAAACCCCCAGTAATGTCAATATTTTTGTGGAAAATTCACTGACACATTCCAATAACCCTCACTGTTAAATTATCAAGATAGTTAAATTATCAATGTAATGAACAGTGTATTGCACTTATTATCCAGAAACCCTTTCTCTTCTATATTTTACTTAGCACCCTTCATCAAACATTTGCAGAGTGAGCAGGATCACTCAATCTTCCATTTGCTTCTGAAGTACTAGAAGGTGGCCTGTGGATCATATAAACTTTCTCTACCTAGATCGTTGGATTAGATTTTGTATTCAAAACAAGCTCTCTGAATTCACTCCCAACATTCATTCTTTTTAACACTGATAGGTTTTTAGACTTAACCTGATTTTCCAAAGCATCTACGTTTTTCTTGATGACATATTTCCCTTAAGGGTAGAGACACCTTAATCCATTGAATTTGTTTTTGACCTGAATTACTCAATTTGTAAATCCTCCTCTGAATTAGAGCAAACAAAACTTCCAACCTGGATTTATGGAAATATTCACTCTGTTCATAATGTTCTCTCATATTTGTCATGACTGTGTATGTATGCTTTCATCTGTTCAGCTACAACAGACAACCCCTGTGACTAATAAATTGCATGTAGGGCATTGTTCACCTTCTGCACTTACAGCCATTTTACTAACTTTACTGGGGCTAGAGTGCAAAAACTAAACAAATGAGCTCTGGTGTGGCTCGTAGGGAGAATCTGTTTTTAGGAGGAACATAATTGATTGTCTCAGGGGAGGATGAGCAGGGCCACACATATCAAGAATGTCTGTATGAATCTCCTTCTGCTTCCTAGTGACTTCCCGCCCAACAAATCTATTGCTGGTACCCATCTAACTATCAAGAGTAAACAAATGAGTGCTATACCTGCACACAAGTATGTTGACCTCCTCTTAAAACTAACCACCTGTCTCGTGTACATTTTTATATCTGTATCTGTCTTACAAATATTGTGTAACTTATTCTGTTAACAAGAGTTCAGAAATATTTTTTTTGAAATAGAAAAACTCATTTTAATTTAATATCTATTCTGTTAAGCTTCAGCAGATCCTTCAGACTTTTCAGCAGCCTCCAAAACCCCAGTCTCCAGTCATAGATAATACTGTAATGGCTCAGGTTCAGGCTATTACTGCTCAATTGAAGACTACGACAACACAACCACCAGAACAAAAAGCTGCTTTCCCACCACCTGAGCAAAAAACTTCTTTTGATAAGGTAAGTCCTTTGTTGTTCTTTGCATTTATAAGGATCATTTTAACGTAGTAACTAATAGGAAGATGGAAATACAGGAATTTAAGTTCACCTTTGAGTGTTGTCAGTGCAGATCCCCAGTTTTGGGATGTGCCTGTGCCCTGCCCCAAAGCCAGGGACTCTCTGAAAAGCTCTGGTTGTTGGGGGCCACATGGACTTCACCTTGAGCTCTGAAATATTCCAAGTGATGTTTTGTGCAAAGAGGCGTGCAGCCACCCCCAAACGTCCAACTGCTAGAACAAAAAAATCAGAACTTCCTCTGGCCCCTTGACTTCCAAATCACTGGTTTTCTTGTTTTCCTGTATTAAGGATAGACTTTTTGCTTTCAAAAATTGAATAAAACTGGTTTTGAACAGTTAGATCTATTCTTTAAGTGAACTTTACTACTTCTTCAATGCTTGCTCATGTCTATTCCATTGTAGGTGTGTGTGCTCGCCACATGCGCTAGTGCCGGAAGTTTTTCCCTCTGTGGTATTCGTAGGGGACATGCTCTGGCGCCGTCTGGAGTGGCTCGTGTATGTCGCAGTATAAGGGGCGCTGCTGGCTCCCCCCCACCCTCAGTTGCTTCTTATCACCAGTGATGGTGCTGGAACATCTCCTTACCTCAGCAAGCTTACTCCTCTCAACTGCTCGTTGTAAACTTTGATGTATATAGTTGTTGAAAAGTTGTTAGTTTTTAGTTCCCTGACTGTAGTTTAGTGTTAGCTTGTAGTCTCTGACGGGACTCCAAAGCCTGTGACTGTTGCAGAAAACCTATGCCAGTCAATGACCACAACAGTAGCTGTTTGAAGTGCTTGGGGAAACCCACATTAGTGACAAGTGTTGCATTTGTAAAAGTTTTAAACCTTGGACCAAAAAAGGAGTGGGACATTCGCCTCCGAGCACTTCTCATGGAGTCAGCACTTACACCAGCACCAGAGCTGTCCAGATCAGACTCCGCTCCTAGCACCGTGGCCTCGGTGCAGAGCGTGCCACCGGCACTGACTGCGGACCGGCCTCTATCCCCCTCCCCAGTACCAGCTAGAAAGCAAAGAAAGGCCGGGAGTGGAGGTTCTCTTGCGTCCCGTAAAGGGAAGGAGAGGGCCAGAGGGGAGCAAAGACCCGTGAGGGGCAGCTTTTCACCTCCGGACGAAGGTCAGGCCCCTGCTCTCGCTGAGCGGGCTAGCCCACTACAGGATCAGCCCGCCACCCCAGGAAGCGGCAGAGGCATTTGACACCTGGCGGTGCCATCCACACCGGAGGCCTTTCAGGCCACGAAGGACGTTGTCCCTACTGGTGCCGGCCTCGGAGGTGCTCCGCTTCAGGAGAAAATCTGCCTTGAGACCCTTCCAACGGTCCCCATCAGTGTGACACCACTCCTCACCATAGGAAGTGTCCTGCCAGCGCTCGCCTGCGCAGAGCCACCACATCCCGGTCACGGGTCAGCCCCACCCATCAGAGTCCTGGATGTCAGTCCCTGGACTCCAGGCAGCGCTCCTCAGGCTCGAGGAGGCAATCGCTAGTGGAACAACGCAGACCTACAGAGGTGCGGCACCCGTTCCCGCAGCCCTGGTGCCGGGAATGCCTGAGCCGCTCTCCCAGTGTATGGCACCGCTGCAGCGGTTTGAGCCACCGGTCCAGGGAGCCATTACCGGTTGCTGGAATGACAGAGCCATCCGCCTAGCCTGTGGTGTCTTCCTGCTACAGTTGTCTGCTGGGGTAGTACAGGTGTTGACAGACAACGTGACCTCAATGTTCTGTGTCAACAGGCAAGAGGGAGTGCACTCGTCAACTCTCTGTCAGGAAGCACTCCGCCTGTGGGACTTTTGCATCCAGCACGCAATCCACCTGGAAGCTTCGCATCTTCCCGGCATCCAAAACATGCTGGTGGATCGCCTAGGCAGGTCCTTTTTCTCTCACCACGAGTGGTCACTCCACTTGGAGGTCGTCGGGATGCTCTTCCAGAAGTGGTGGGCTCCCTGAATGGATCTGTTTGCCACCAGACAGAACAGGAAGTGTCATCAGTTCTGCTTTCTCTAAGGCTTCGGCAGGGGCACCCTTTCCGATGCCTTTCTCCTGTCATGGGCGGGGGATCTGATGTATGCATTCCCGCCAATTCCGCTGATCAGCAGGGTCCTATCGAAAATCAAAAGGGACAAGGCGCGAGTCATTATGATCGCCCTGGTGTGGCCTCACCAGCTCTGGTTCGGCACACTCATGGATCTGGCTGTGGCTGCTCCATGGCCACTGCCCAGCTGCCCGGACCCACTCTCGCAGGACCCCGGTCGGCTTCTGCACCCGAACCTTCCCTCTCTTCACCTCACGGCTTGGCTGTTGCATGGCTGAACCCAGAGGAACAGGCCTGCTCTAGTCAGGTACAGCAGCTTCTCTTGGAAAGCAGAAAGCCCTCCCCAGAGCGACTTACCTGGCAAAGTGGAAGCGGTTCTTCTGCTGGGTGTCGGAGCATAGCATCTCCCCGACCCGGTTGTCTCTGCAGTCCATCCTGGATTACCTGCCCTACCTAAAGCACCACGGCCTCGCGCTTTCTTCCATCAAGGTGCACTTAGCAGCCATATCGGCCCTTCACCCATGTGTTCAGGGCAAATCCGTGTTCTCGCATGAGATGTCTGGTTCCTAAAGGGCCTTGAAAGGCTCTTCCAACCAATCTGGGACCTGGTTCCCCAATGAAACCTCAACCTTATCCTCTCTAGGCTCAAAGGCCCACCCTTTGAGCCTATGGCTTCTTGTTCCATTTCCCATCTGTCGTGAAAAGTTGCTTTCCTTGTAGCCATTACTGTGGCGAGGTGCATATCTGAGATTAAGGCCTTCTCTTCGGAGTCTCCGTATACGGTATTCTACAAGGACAAGGTCCAGCTGTGACCTCATCCGGCTTTCCTCCCTAAGGTGGTGTCCCCTTTTCATGTGAACCAGGATATCTTCCTCCCGGTGTTCTGTCTGAAGCCACACTCAACCAATCAGGAGAGGCGGCTACACGCTTTGGATGTCCGGCACACTCTAGCATTCTACCTGGAGCGCACCAAACCCTTCCATAGATCGACCCAGCTCTTTATCGCCACAGTGGACAGGATGAAGGGTCTCCCGGTGTCCTCGCAGAGGATCTCGAATTGGATCACCACCTGCATCCGGATCTGTTATGAGCTGGCTCAGGCCAAGCCACCACCTATAGTGAAGGCCCACTCGACCAGGGCTTAAGTGTCCTTGGCGGCCTTCCTGGCACATGTCCCTATCCAGGACATCTGCAGGGCTGCGATGTGGTCTTTGGTACACACGTTCATGACGCACTACGCCATCACCCAGCAAGCAAGAGGTGACTGGATTTGGCAGAGCTGTGTTGCTCCTCTGGTGGTACTGCTTGGGAGTTGCCTACAATGGAATGGACATGAACAAGCACTCGAGGAAAATACAGTTATCTTTTTTCTTAACTAGTGTTCTTCGAGATGTGTTGCTCATGTCCATTCCATGTCCCACTCTCCTTCTCTACTGTCAGAGTTTCCGGCAAGAAGGAACTGAGGGTGAGGGGAGCTGGCAGCGCCCCATATACTGCGACATGTGCGCGCCACTCCAGAGGCCACCAGAGCCGGTCCTTACGGATACCACTGAGGAAAAACTTCTGGCACTGGTGCACGTGGCGAGCACACACATCTACAATGGAATGGACATGAACAACACATCTCGAAGAGCACGAGTTACAAAAAAAGGTAACTGTCTTTTTCTTTGCTCCTTGGGTAAAATATCTTTCGCCTTTAGTTTCCAGAGTTGCTAAAATTTTATAGCAAGACATCCTTAATGTAATAGAAATATTTTAGCTGCTCATTATAAAATATTGAGGAAAGTGGAGTTGGCTCAATGTAACTTCTTTCAGAAGCTGCTAGATCGATTTGACTATGATGATGAGCCAGAAGCAGTAGAAGACTCAAAGAAAGAGGATTCAGCTCCGTCTCCTTCCATTTCTCAACCACCGTTGTAAGTTTTGTGATGCGTAGTAAAATCAAAATAATAAGATTCATATGAATACAAGAAAGCTTAAATTAAAATTCTAGGTTATGACAATATAGAAATAGAAAGTCTGCAAGTTTAGATATTGATAATTGTTTGACTACATTATTTTTATTTAAATGGTACTGTGTAAGAGTTTGGCATGTCACAGAATTGGGTGAAGAATCTGTTCTGTAGGTTATCTAACAGCTCATCTAGTTATAGGTGCAAGATTTCAGTTTTTGTATTTTTTTTTTTTTTTTTAAAGCTGGGTATTTCAAGGCATTTTTTTATTAATAAAATTAACACAGAATTGCTAAAAGAAAATTGAGTTTGCAACCTTAAGCACTCAGAGTTAAGTGCATCCTTAATTCATGTGCAACTTCAGTTTGGCCCCTTTGTGCGTACACATTGTGGTAGTCTTTAATTACGTGATTACATACTTTTGCCTGTAATGGCCCTGCCTCATTCAGTGCACAGGCTGGATGGTACTCAATGAATGGGTAGCTACTAAGCAGCTAAACAAAAATATTGAATATGTGGCCTCATGTCTTATTTGTCACACACGACCCAAACTCCGCACTTAATGCAGAACTGTTAATTTCCTCATAAGCTCTTTTTATGGTGCTCGTCTCCATAGCATCTGAATGTTTCACAAATATTAATGAACTTCGCTTCACAACACCCATGTGAAGTAAATTGGTGGTAATGTCCCCATTTTACAGGTGGGAACTAAGGCACATAAAGATTAAGACCAAAATTATCAAAAGTATCCACTAATATTGGGTGTACCTCTTGAGGCCATATTGGGCCTGATTTTTTTTCAGTGCACTTAATGTATTTATAGCACGTTAAATGTTTAATACACAGCTCCCATTGATTCCAGTTGCAGTTGAGTATGTAGCATTTCTGGAAATCAGGCCCCAGCTGTCTCAGGTTGGGCAGACAGAAAATGAGAACTCACACTGAAAAGTTTGGTTTAAGTGACTTGCCCTATATCACAAAGGAAATCTGTGGCAGAGTCATGGCTAGAGTCCAGTTTTTCACACTTCCATTCATTACACACCTTCCAACGACTGCAACAAAAGAGACAAGGGTTCTATAACACTCTTATTCACTATGAATATCTGGTTAATTTCCTGAGCACTGTCTGTTCTGTGCACTGAATAAGGCATCAAAAGGCACTTCTCTGATCCCAGTGTGACACACATCCCTCTTCTCTCCCCAACCTCCCTTGGCCAAACTTCAAGTCCTGCTCCAAAGTGTGAGAGTATTAGAGTTTCTCAACAAAACATTTGTAAGATTTTTTTTTTTTTTTTTTAACATGGGCAAAATGTTTCTCTAGCCTCATTCTCAAACAGCTGAACCTTTTTTGCTGAAACATGGGTGTAGCCTGAGACAGACACCTGGCATGAAAAATCTCAGCCTCGATGATTAAATTTTGGCAAAGTTATCATTGAAAATGGGATCTTGTAATGCAAAGTTTTAGGTAGCCTTAACTAAAGAAATCACTTCCAGCTCTACCTGTAATTGGATGATTGGTTTCTATGGAGTTTTCAGCTAAATTTTTATCTAAATTTGAAGCAGCAATGAGATTTTTAAATGTAAAAACAGAATGTTTACATATTAACATTGCCTTGCTGCTGCAGAGTAATTATCTGTTTTTTAGTGGATTTCCAGGAGAAGGTATGCAGCAGCCAGTATATCCACAGCTCCCAAATATAGACCCATTTCAACCACGACTGATGGGAATGCAGCAAGATCCAATGCACCACCAGGTAGCTTTGAATTACTTTTGAGATGAATTTCCTTTGGAATTCGTTACTTTTATTAAAACATGTTTAGAATGTCTGCTCTTCATATGGAATCATTTAATATTTTTGATTCATGGAACTGGAAGGAAATCTGTTAAAAATGAAGAAATAATGTTTGTATACACCATTAGCTTTGGTAAACAACTTATACACATCCATAATTTCATGTGTGGTACCATTGACTTCAGTTGCAGTACTTACATATAGAAAATTAAATGTGTTTGCAGCATCAGAGCCTTGTCAGTCCCCTAGAGTAGAAAATGTTTAGAACTAAGTTGCATTGTGAGTGCATGTTAATATATTTTACATATTCTAATGACATATTGCATGCTAAATTTTTCAGTTGAGTTTTGAAAGGGGCCACACAACTAGGGAGATATATAAATGCATGTATGAACACAAAGAGTTAATGTGTATATGTGCTTTTTTTCATATAAAACTTGCAATGCTGCTCTGAGCAAAATATGTGCAGCTTTCCATTAATCAAGCCAAGCTTATTGTTGAAGTAGCAATTTTTTCACTGAGACTGAAAACGAATGTTTTTCCCCCCTAAAGATCCCGCTCCCTCCTAATGGACAAATGCCAGGTTTTGGACTTCTACCTACCCCACAGTTTCCTCCCATGACTCAGCCTGTGATACCGCCAACACCAGCAGTGCAGCAAACTTTCCAGTCTCCTTTCCCAGTACAGAGTGAACCACACATACAGAAAACACATCAGCAGGTGAGGACTTTTGCCATCCAATACAATTTTAGGCTCCTAGTGGTTTAAAAGCACTAACAGGCAATCTGTCAGACTACTGAAAGCAACTATGCCCACAGACATTCATGGAGGCAGCTCACTTGATAGAAGTTTAGGTGCGAAAGTGCTTCAGTAGACACTGCACCACAAGTGTTCTGCCTCTGTGTAGCAGAAGCAATGCTTACTTTTTTCCTGATTCTCTTTGGGAAAAGCCTTGGATTTGGATCTTGCAGCCAGTCTATTTATCTCTTTTCATCTCTCCCTCCACCCCCATCAAGCTGCAGGAATATTCTCTCTCCTCAAAGTCCTTGCGGCAATATCAGTCTGACTCTAATTCTGGAGGTAAACTATATGAATGAGCTCATTTTAAAGATTAACAATATATTTGAAAAAGAGGCAGACCCAAAAATTCCAAGAAATTCCCCTTAAAATGAAAAATAGTAGGTAAGGGATAGTTCCCTTTTCTCAGAGGTTTTGGAGGATATTGTGGATTTAAAGTGACTGGCTCCTTCTACGAAGTGATCAGTGAGCAAATTCTGACTTATGAATGAGTATATACAGTAATTTAAGCCAAATATTTTTGGTAAAAAAAAGTGACGCATCAAAGAGCGGGGGTCTACACCAAAATTTGATTATTTTAAACTCTATGGAATCATTGAATTGAATATCTAATACTCTGTCGTTTTGTTTACCTGGAGTGTCTGCAGGCATGGAGCCCCGGGGCTCCGTGCCAGCAGACGCTCCAAGTAAACAAAATGTCCCGACCCGCCAGCGGCTTACCCTGACGGGCTGGGAGCCAAAGTTTGCCGACCCCTGAAATATAGGGTTGGCTTATGAAAGGGTCATACAGTTTTTGCTATTTTTACCTAACCATCTTGGGGGGTTGGCTTATAAACGAACGGGCTAATGAACGAGTATGTATGGTATATAAAGTTCCTAAACACAAGAAGTCAAAATTTGCCATCTCTAAAATGGATTCTAAGACTTTATCCGTGAAAGACTTTTGAGGGAGCAATTTCCCTGAAGAACGTAGGGATAAGACTTGAACATTCTCTGAAAGGAGATTGAGTGCATTCTCAGCAGCCTTGTGTACTTATAGCCTGTGTAGTCACATCCAGAGCTTCCCTTTTTTTTATTAAAGACAGTAAATCATCCAAATGGAGATCCAAAAAACAATGTGATTATAAAAAAGAGGCTCCGGAATCCGTACCAAGTTTTCTCAATTTATGATGCAGTCTGTGATATCACAAGATTTTCTTCATGCTCTTTATTCTGTTCCACCACAATAGCCAGGATATACATTCAGTTGCAGTCCTAGGACATATGCTATCTTCACAATCTATCTGATTCAGGCTCCCTTCATAATCACAAAAAAGTAAATTGTTGAGGCCTTGAATGTGAACAAGCTTTCTGTGCACAAAGACAAAAATGATTGCTTTCTTCAGGCTAAGAACTTTAGGGGTACTGGCAAATGCTAGAAACAATCCTTTCTTTCTGCTAGAGAGAGAAAGAGAGTGTACTTCTTAGGAGCCACTGAGCAGTCAGAGTGTTGATTCTGACTTTGCCTCCCTATCAGGGCTAGCTTGAGAAGGTTTCTTCCATCAGTTTGGGCTAAATCCACTTGGGACACCAGTGTGTTTTGGACATTGTGCAATGTGACTACCACATTTTTATCCCCTCTAACCAAATTTCATGTCCCTAATTTGCTTCCCTTCAGCCCAAGCAAATGGGAAGCTCTTTAGGACTTGGTTCATCACCAACTGTTCCTGTATGCAATTTCACCTGCCCCAACCTCTGAAGAGGCAGTTTGATATTTAAGATTTGCCTTGGTTCCCAAAAATAATGATGTGGGTCCGTCCCAATCCTGGTCCTGTTTCCTGTAAATTGTAAATTCTGGCAGTAAGATGCATGCTTGTGGATGGTGACCCTTTTTCTTCGTTCAGGACATCCAGCAAAGGAGTTGTTTATGTTGTGTAGATATAAAAATAATCCTGTATTTGCTTGTTTTCATTAATCTATCATGTTTCTAGTACCTGTGATTATTGAGATCATCACCATTTTCAGTATTTCTTCCCTCTCCCCCACCCTTGGCTTTTTTTGTCAGCTCCATGTTTGTTCCCAAGATTTTAGTGGCTGTATTTACCTTCCTCAAAGAAGAGGGTATATATATTTCAGTCCTTTGGATGAAAACCACCTCAGGTTTTGTAGCAGACAGAAGGTGATTCAGAACTCCTGGAGAATGGTCCATTTCTTCAACACAGTTTTGTGATCATCTGGGACAAATGCTCCTTATCATTTTTGTGGAACTTAACACACCTGAGGTTCAGGTTCTGCACACACTTTGAAAGGGTCATTCTTCCTGCAGACTTAGATTGTAAACTTTTTGGAGCAGGGTCTGTCTTTTTGTTCATTGTTTTTACAATGCCTAGTACAATGCCAGGACTGGGGCTCCTAGGTGCTACAATCATGTAAAATAATAAAAATACAGTAACAAATTGAACAGTTGGTTCAGAGACTACACAAACACCCTGCTGCAACTATTTGGCAAGCCATTCATCTGGAATTGATGATTTATTGCTCACCTACAGCTGAGTGAACGGTCCTTTACAGTAGGTTTTTCCAGGCATTTCTTCTGTCGATAAGATCAGTGCCCGGTCTCTCTTCAGAGATCACCTTCCTCACTGAAGTTTTTCAGTCCCTGAAAAAATGGAACAAATCTAGCAACATGAGTGAGGAAAACTTCTGTCTAAAATTCTTACCGTGTGGTTTACTAGGGTTGCCTGCCTGATCAAGTGCAAATGGGAAGAAAAATAGTTCCCATGAGAATTCAAGAGGAGCATCCATTATCTGGGATTGTAGGCAGTTGGGAAAGCCATGAGACACATGACTCCTCACAACTGCTTCCTCTGTGATTTAGGGTGAGATCTACCCCCTCTATTGTTGTGGAACACATTTTGAGTTAACTAGTTTCAGCTTCATATGTTCTGACAAAACTAAGGTTTCAGGCTGAGTGTTCAGGGGAGAGAAAACTGAGCTGCAGAATGATTCAGTCTTCCAAGAGTTGGGGACTCTGCTGATCGATTTATTTGCTTCAGGCATCAATAAGTTGGACCTTTGCTGCTCCTGTAGCTCTGAGAAAGGCAGGTGACTTCATTCAATTGGCCAGACTAGATGAACATAATTATATATTTTTGTACCCTTGAAAAATGAGAGACTGGGCCTGTGGTTGCTTGATAACATTTAATCTCCCAATTCATGGAAATGACACCTTGCCCTCCCTGTAGGGATCTCTGACCAGAGACCTGATAGTAGAAAAAGTCTGAGAAAAGGAATATGGAGAGGATGGTGGAAGATTGGGAGGCATGGGAAAGAGCGGGATGGAGTCATGCTCCCTGCTTTTGAATGGAGAGGGAGGAGAAACTGTTAAGCATTTAAACCTCAAGTTCTTAAAATATGGATGAGACTCCCCCTACTCTCCTGTCATTCCATTATATCATATACAATCCCCATAATCCACCTTGTATAACTTCCTCCAGTAGACTTTGCTTAAAGTCTGCAGGAAGGGGAGCCCCACATTGGGTCTCATAAGACATTTCAGAGCAGAGTTTCCTTGTTGCAGACTGTGGGGTAGGGGCTCCCTCCAGACCCCACTTCCAGTTGTTTGTCCTTCCCCCAGTTAGTAGCACACGAGGAGTTCTCTGAGTAAAACAGACAAAAGAAAGGTCCTCTCCCCTCTCTTTCCCTTATGAGAGAGGAGAATCTGTGTGAAAACAAAGGCAAAAGTAGCCTGGATATCAGGCAGTCTTTCTGGATTCAGCTTCAGATTCTGGGTGTTGTCTGTCAGCAGCTTTGTTGTCTTTCAATGGGGGCTACCTCCAGGTCCTCGTTTTGGGGGCGTGTGCTGCTTTGTAAGGGGGCAGTTTCACTGTCTCCCTTTCAGCTGGCCTGTCTCTGCTGTCAGCAGTCTCTGAGGTGGAACAGTCCTCCTGTTCACTGCCTCTTCCTGTGGCAGGTTTTCTCTTTTTTTAAGCTCACCCTTCCAGGCAGGACAAGCCTTGCAGGTGTGCCTCATTTGTGCTGAACAGGCCCGGAAGAGCTCGTTAGTCTCCTCCCACAAGAGTGAGGGCATGTCCCTTTGTGCACACCTTGTTTTGCCAGTGATTTAATCTTTTGGTGCTCAATTAAAAGAAAATGTTCAAACAAAAAGTTATAAGTGGAGAATTTGAATTGGCAGTTAGAGCAAATACCTTTTACTATTTATTAGGGCATACTGTTGTGGAACACATTGTTGAGACACAGACTAGGCGACTTTGGACATTACTTGTAACAACAGAAGGTTTTAAAAAAAAATCAACAAAGGTTTTTTTAGCTTGACTGTCATTAGTTATTCATACCCCTTTCTTACTATATAAACATTTATTATACCTAATAACATAACATGCTGAAATTAACTATGTGTGGAGAAAAATCAACAATTTAAAAATTGAAGATAAGTTTTGTATGTTATTTTTAAAATGTTGACATAGTAATAGTATTTATTACAAATGTATTGTGCTTATTATTTTTTGCACTGGTGAATAAAACAGTAAAATCTGTGTTTTGGACAAAATCATATCATGGTTTTGATTCTAGATATCTAATTATGAATTTAATTTCATATAACTTGTTTGGTAGACTAATTGAGTCTAGTCACAAACTGGAATAAAATTAATACTTGCAGTAATTACAGTAGTTTAACTTGTGGGGTATTTTAGGATATGGAGGTGGAACAGCCCTGTGTTCAGGAAGTTAAACGACATGTTTCTGATAACAGAAAATCAAGATCTAGATCGGCATCAAGGTAAGTTAATGTAATTTTTTCTAGCACTGGTAATATATGTATGATATGCTAAAGTTTATATATCTCTCTCATCAAAAGGATTCAAAGTGCTTTACTAAGTGTCTGTGTGTTGAGGAAGGATAGCGCTATGGTTAGTGTGGTAGCCAGGGACTTGGTGATCCTGGATTCAATTCCCTGCTCTTCCTGCATGACCTTGAGCAAGGCACTAAGGGCTTGTCTAAACTGGGAAATTTACGGGTATAATTTTACCAGTATAGAGATAGCAGGATAAATCCCTATGTGGACACACTTATTCAGGAATAAGAGTATGCACAAAGGATATATGGTATAACTATGTTAGTACGTTTCCTGGCGTAGACAAGTCCTTAGTATCTTTATGCCTCACTTTTCCATGGGTAAAATGACCTCCTTACTTTACAGCATGTGTTGTGTTGATAAATACATTTAAAGACTGTGAAGTACTTGGATACTACAATAATGGGGGGCCAAATAAGTAGCTGCAGTAGATACATAGGAATCACTCTTATATCTCTGAAATGCAGTTACTACTTGAGTGGACTGAGACAGTCCTTCAGAGCCATCAACATCACATTTCTCCTCTTCTGGTAGAAGTGAAGAATAACTTCTCCCTTTGCAGTTACTGGAGAAATCTTAAATAGACAGAATGTCATTATTTAATTTGTACCAGGATTCTAGAGTTCACAACACTATATTTGCAAAAAGATCCATAGGCTCTTGAATGATTTTGTGGGCTGTAGGTTTTGCCTATCAGAAAGACAGACAGCATATCCTAACAGAATCCTGGGATACTGGTTCCACGGTGGCTAAAAGCCACCAGTATTTATGTGGCAAATCTGCCTACTAAATTACCAGGGCCACTCCTTTGCAGCACTTTACTTGTTTTTTTTTTTTGGAGGATTACCTTGAAATACCTGTCAGGCCTTGGTTTGCTTAGCTTTAAATAATAGTGTAAAGTGCTTGTTCATGTCGATTCCAAGTAGGTGTGCGCATGCCGTGTGTACAGTCATTGGAAGGTTTTTCCGCTAATGGTACCTGTTGGGTCGGTGCCCCTTGGAGTTGCACCTTCATGGCGCTGCATATAGGGCCCTGCCGACCGCCACTTCAATTCCTTCTTACCACCCATGACGATCATTGGAGCTGCGTGTCTCTTCTCTTGCATTCCCCTAGTGGTTTCTATTATTGCATTTATAAATAGAGTAGAATTAGTGTTTTAGTAGTGGTTAGCTTAGTTAGTTTCTGTTTGGGGGAAACACCCCAGTTTGTTTCCCCCTTCCCAGGGATTGAAGCATGCCTCAATCCCAAGAATTCAAGCCGTGCGGGACCTGCCATAAACCTACGCCAAAGGGCGATCCCCACAAGTCCTGTTTGAAGTGCCTGGGGAATCCCATCAGACAAATTGGTGTGGGATTTGCAAGGGATTTCGTCCTAGCACTAAAAAAGAGAGGGACTTCATACTTAAACATCTCCTCGTGGAGGGAGCCCTTCGTCCCCAACTGGCTCTGGCAGTGGCAAGGACCCCGTTGAAGGCTGCCCTGGATGCAGCAGACTTGGCCACGCGAACAATGTTCTCCGCTATCTCCATGAAGAGGAATTCATGGCTGCAGGTGTCAGGCCTCCCTCCAGAGGCCCAACAAACAATACAGGACCTGCCCTTTGAAGACTTGGGGTTGTTTTCAGAGCAGATGGACTCCAAACTCCATAACCTGAAGGATTCATGGGCAACACTGAAGTCCTTGGGGCTGTGTGCACCAGCCACACAGAGAAAGCACTCTAAGCCCCAGCTTCCCGCGTGTTGTTATCCTACGCAGCCTAGGCAGGACTACTCCAGGAAGCAGGGCAGGAACAATAGACGTAGGCCTCCCCAGTCCCCACCCAACCAAGGCCAGGGTTCGGCGAGGCAGCCCTCCGGTTCCAAGCATGCCTTTTGAGGGTGCACCCGGGCGATGCACCAGACCACATCCTGGATCCTTCTCCCTGTTTCTTGAACCATCTATCCCACATCTATTGTGCGTGGACCCAGATAACTTCAGACTGCTGGATGCAGTGCACAGTAGAATTGGGATATTCTCTCCAATTCTGTTCCTCCCCTCCCTTCCATCCCCCTTCCCCGTCCCTCTTCAGGGACTGCGCTCACGAGCAACTTCTTATACAGGAGGTGCAAATGCTCCTAAGTGCAGGAGCAGTAGAGGAGGTTCCTCAGGAGCTAAGGGGAAAGGAATTCTACTCCCAATGGAAAGCCAAAGGGGGTCTCAGACCCATTCTCGACCGGCAAAACCTCAACAGGTTTCTGAAGTTTCTCATGGTATCTTTGCCGTCATCATTCCCTCCTTGGATCCTGGGGAACTTGTATGCTGCCCTCGACTTGAAGGACGCATACTTTCATATATTGACGGTCCTGTCCCATGGGAGGTTCCTCAGGTTCGTAGTGAACTGCACTCATCTTACAGTCCTCCCCTTCGGCCTGTCAGCACCCCTCGTGTGTTTACCAAGTGCATGGCAGTTGTCACTGTTTCCTGAGGAGATGGCAGGTGTTCCCGTACCTCGACAACTGGCTTGTCAGGGGCCACTCCAGGGTGCAGGTAGAGGCGTATGTAAACCTGACGTGGTCAACCTTTGACAGACAGGGTCTATTGCTGAACGTGCTGAAGTCAACCCTATCCCCTACCCAGAGGAGAGAGTTTATAGGAGCAATCCTGGACTCCACTCACGCAAGGGTATTCCTACTGGAGCCTCGCTTCCAAGCCATTTGCTCCATCATAGAGGACTTCGAGCATTTTCACACCGCGATGGCGCAGAGCTGCTTGAAGCTGCTAGGTCACATGGCCGCCTGCACATATGTAGTTCAGCATGCAAGACTGCGCCTCAGGCCTCTCTAGGCTTGGCTGGTGTTAGTGTACCAACCAAACAGAGACAATCTGGACAAGATAGTTTCGCTCCCACCTCTGGTTATAGAGTCCCTCCTATGCTGGCTCAATCCTCAAGTGGCATGCACAGGGGTGCCCTTCACGGACACGTCAGCGTTGGGGTGGGGAGAACATCTAGGGGCCCTCAGGACTCAAGGCTTCTGGTCCTAAGCAGAGCTCTTACTTCAAATCAATGTCAGGGAGCAGAGAGCGGTTTGCCTAGTCTGCCAGACTTTCCAATCCCATCTGGAAGGCAGATGCATATCAGTCATGATGGACAATACAACAGTGATGTTTTATATAAACAGACAAGGTGGAGCACGCTCCTCTCCCCTATACCAGGAAGCCCGCAAGCTGTGGGACTTCTGCATAGCCCACTCAATACACCTAGTGGCATCTTACTTCCAGGATCCTAGAATGAGCTGGAGGACCATCTCAGCAGGTCCTTCCACAACCACGAGTGGTCCATTAACCCGGACACCGTGAACAGCATCTTCCAACAGTGAGGGTTCCCCAGGTAGATCTGTTCATGACAAGACTCAACAGAAAGTGTCAGCAGTTTTGCTCCTTCCTGAACCACAGCCCTGACTCTATCACGGACGCATTTCTCCTTCCCTGGAAGGACCATGTGGTCTATGCGTTCCCACCCTTCTCGCTCATTCACAAGGTCCTGCTCAAGGTCAGAAGGGAAAGAGTGTCTATCATACTGATAGCTCCAGCCTAGCCCTGTCAACACAGGTATACCACGCTCCTGGAACTGTTGGTAGCCACTCCGATCGCCTTGCCTTTGGTGCCAAACCTAATCACCCAGGACCACAGATGCATCCAGCATCCCAACCTCATCTCTCTCCACCTCACGGCATGGAAGCTTCATAGCTAAACCCCATGGAGTTGACATGCTCAGAGCCTGTAAGAGAGGTCCTCCTCGGCAGCAGGAAACCATCCACTAGAGCTACATACGTGGTGAAGTGGAAGAGATTTTTGATTTTGGCGATGCAGAAGGGTACATCTGATGAAAGTATCAATACCCCTCATCTTGCATTTGAAGCAGCTAGGTCTAGCGGTTTCATCCTTAAAGTTCAACTGACGGTGAGCTCTGCGCTCTATCCAGGGGTTGACGGTTGATTGGTGTTCACTAGCCTGATGGTGGGCTGCTTCTTCAGGGACTAGACAGGTTATACTCTCAAGTTCACCATCCAATACCAGCATGGTACTCTCCAGGTTAATGGGGTCCCCCTTTGAGGCCATAGCAACATGCTTGCTCTTCTACCTTTCATGGAAGGTGGCATTCCTGGTCACGATAACTTCAGCCAGGAGGGTATCTGAGCTCAAGGCCTTGACATCCAGGGGGTTCCTGGACTGACCTGATAGATACCACTAGGGGAAAAACCTTCTGACGACTGTGCACGCAGCGCACACACACCTGCTTAGAATGGACATGAGCAACATATCTCAAAGAACAACAGTTACGAAAGGTAGGTAACCGTATTTTTCACTGACATTTCTATTAATTTTTTAGTTGTCATCTTGTAAGAAAAGTTTTCCTCACTTATAGCTGCAAGTACATTCTGTGATGTAATAGATATTTGAGTTAGTGCCATAATACAAGAGTAAAATAAAAGTGATAGAGGATATCAGAAGTTGAAAGAATAATAAATTACAATAAATTTGTAGTATAGATAAAGTATGTTTAGTTGCTTAAGTTTACAGTTGGTATAAATACTTATTTGGGATACACTATGTACTGTTAAGTATAAATGTCTAGTGTGTACATACTCTAATGCTTGATTTCAAAGTTTTTAAAAATGCAATTGTTGAACTTTCACTCCCGATGAGTCAAATAGATATTTATACTGTGTGTTTAGACAAAGCATTGTATGTTAATATTTTTATTTAAAATTAGATCTCCAAAAAGGAGACGATCAAGGTCTGGATCTCGATCTCGAAGGTCACGTCATCGTCGCTCTCGTTCCCGATCCCGGGATAGGCGCCGACACTCTCCTAGATCTCGGTCGCAGGAAAGGCGTGAACGAGAAAAAGAGAGAGAACGCAGATCAAAAGGCCTTCCTCAAATCAAACCAGAAACTGTTAGTGGTGAGTGCTCTCCTTCACTCATTTTACTTTCAAAGGAAAGGAAGCTTTAGTGCAAAATGGTTCTTATTATAGCGTCATTTCTCAGGTGCTCAAGATTTTCTCTGTAAACAGGTGACTTTTGTGAAAAGATGAGGAAATTTCTTTTAGCAGTTTGAGTTCTGTGAGGCTGAAGAAATTGCTACAATTCCAGACAAATTTTACACCTAAAACAGTTGAAATTTCAAACATAGAATTTGGCTTCTAAAACCCTTAACTAGGCACAATGCCTTTGATAGGTTTGAGAGATTTGTGGATGAATTATAAATGAGTGAAAAATCACTTTTGAGCATTCTCAGAAGACCCAAGTATTTTGCAATCTAATGATGCCTGCCACACTTGACCTCATTGCATGTTGTGTGGTCAATATGACAGACTCGGGGGGTGGGGGGGATGAGGGACTGCTGCTTTAACTGTTGCTGCCTTAGTCTGAATGAAATAACTCTTACAGAAACATGCCAAAATCAAGATTGGATGTTTTTCTAAGAGATGCTCTAGGAATTATTTTAGGGAAGTTCTATGGCCTGTGTTACACAGGAGGTCAGACTAGATGATCATGATGGTTCTCGTCTGGCCTTGAAATCTTTGACTGATGTGAAGCCTCAGACAATGCACTTTCAGTAAGTGCTGGTGTCAGATTGCTCTCAGTGCTGGAAAGTCATCCATGCTATTTGAAATTCTAATGTGTCAGCACCACGAGGGCTGACTTCTTAGTGCTGATGGTGGTCCTAGATTTGACGTGGTTGCTATTCCCTTTTGACAATGGTGCTGTGCCACTGTCTCATCTGTTGGTGCAGTTAGACCTGGGCTGTCAGATGACCTTGGGTTCCCTCTGATCTCTACCATCAAATATAAGAGGAACTTTGAGGTGAGGAAAAAAAACAAAAACAAAGACCTGGATCTGAGGGGGGGAAATGTCCTCAAACTGCAGTTGCATCTCCTGATGTTGCCAATTCCTCAGATGAAGACTGGGTCTCCTAAAGATCATGGGAACTCTCTTGTGCCAGGGTTGTTGCCTCTTCCTCTACAAGGGCCATCTAAAAGGCCAGACAAAGGGATGAATCTCCTCCATGTCGGTCTCAGTGCTAAGGATTGCCTGGGTTAAGCTTGGTGCCATCTGGGTTGGGCTTTGAGGTTTGCGTGGATGCATCCTGGGAAGAAACAATCCCAAACCATAGTGGGATTCGTCTCTCCTCCTATTCCAAAGCTGTTTGAGTGAATTCATGCCATCTCCCTTTTGTGGGTCCTATTATACTTTGATAGTGTAGCCTTATTTGAATACCTCTATACCTTGGGATTCCTCAGGCTGTGTAAAGAGGGAAGCCAAGTCTGCACCCAGTCTTGTTCTTTGGCTTCTCCCAAGAAATCTGCAATTCTCACACTGTCTGCCTTGACGAGTTGAGCAGCCTGGTTCCTCTTCTCTACTGTTCAGCACTGTAGATCTGTCTGAATCGGAAGGACTTTGGCGTGGAGGATGTGGGAGCTGATACTGAACCTTGTGTTGTCTACATTTCTAGATTAAAAAAATATGGAGGCTTTTTCTACATTTTCCCTGGGGATATGAAGTAGTTCCTGGAGTCAGTAGACAAAATAAGAGACCTTGAATTTAGTGTCGGTCCAGGAGAAGACCTATTCTCTTTGATATCTGTGGGTAAAGGCTGAAGCAGGGTTACTTTGCCTGTTAATGAGGGACTTCTTGACTAGCCAGACACATCTGGGCAGCGCACTTTCAAATGTTTTTATTATTAGAGGTGAAAAGACCTACCAAATGCCTCAGGTGTTTAGGTGCTGCTTTTCCAGTCTCTCTCCCAATTTCTTTGTCATGTCAGTTGCCACTGGGAGATCCAGGGTGTCTAGGGTTAGCCATTCTATACCTGTTTGCAGGGTAGTGGAAAAGGATAGATGCCATGAGTCAAATTCTGCCATACTTACTTTTGGAGTGGTGGTTGTAGAAGCTTGTATTTTGAACTACTTCTGTTCCACTTTCAACCTAAAGAACAAAGTTAAAAGTAATAAATTTAAACACACTAACCAGAGAAGGGAACCATTTAAGAGGAGGGATCTGTCATCCATTCTGATTGATTTATCCTATCTGCTGGAAGGGAGGCCTTTTATCTTGTGCCTGCCAGATACCACCTTGCTAGCAAGATCTTTCATATATGTATTGTCACCTATCTAGAATCTGTCACCCTGGCCTGCAATTGAAGTGTGAAACATTGGGAGTCAGTATTTGCCTTGTTGAGGTTTATTCACCATAATTTGTTGGGAAATCCACAGGTCTGCCCTGACACAGGAGTAGAAAAAGTTTTTCCCCTTTCTATCACGAATTTTAAATTCATGACTCTTTAAAATTCCAAGTCAATTAAGCATTTATTTATAATTTTGAAATCTGTGTATACATTCTAACAATGGTTGTATGTAGTCACGGCTAAACAGAACCCTGAATTCAGCTCCTGGCAGGTAAGAAAAAAGGAAATAACTTTCAAATGTTTTTGTTTTAAAAGATATTTATTTTGTAATATTATAAATACTTGAATTATAAACATTTTTCTTTAACAAAAAAAAAGCTTCAATTTATCTTTAATGGCCATTTTAACGCAAGCCTTTATATTGCAAAAGTAAAATTTAGAAGTGCTAATAGTAAAGTCCTAAGTGTCAGACTTTATTTTTCTTCTAGTTTGTAGTACTACACTCTGGGTAGGACAACTAGACAAAAGAACAACTCAGCAGGATGTTGGAAGTCTTTTAGAGGAGTTTGGCCCGATTGAATCTATAAATGTGAGTATAAATAGTGAACTACAAGCAAAGGTCATGAGAGGCCTTTGTTATAAAGAGGCCTTTTATTTATAAACAACTCATTTATTTAAAACAACTTTTTGTTTTAGTGTTCATTCCCAAGATCAACACTTACCTTTTTCTCTATACCATCATCTTTTTTGAACTATTGCCACTATTAGATTTGTGGAAAATATGAAGCGGTTGCTACAAGACACTTGCGTTTAAAAGCACCATTATTCTTGGGGTTAACCCAGAAGAGAACCCCAATTTCATGAGCACCATGCTTTGTCTTAGGAGACCCAAGTGAAAGATGGTGGATGAGGAGCTTGCTTTGATTGTGTGGAGACCCCTTGATTGCAGAACCTTGTTTATGTAATATTCTGCTAGTACACTTTTCTTCCCCTTCCTTTAAGCTTACAGCAGTCTCTCTTAATTTTTTTTTGTTATTTTGATACAGCTTATGGTCCTACTAGCAGTGAAACTTAAAAAAAAATAAAAAACAAAAATCCATAATTTGGCTGTAGTTTCTCTCTGCTACCTCTAATTCCTCAAAACAAATTAGAGGTAGCTTTGTAAAATTAGATTTTAAAAAATGACTATTCTTAAAACGATTACAACCATTTGAAGAGAGAACTGAAAACAGAGGTGTAGGTGGCAATTTGTAGTTTGTAGAAAAACAAAAACAGAGTGCTTATGTATTGGAGAAAAAAGTCTCCTGCAACCATTAAAAATGCCATGATCTTGGAGTTAACTTACGTATATGCTATTCTCAGCCATATTCAGGATGGAGTACTTTTCATCAGCATGTTCCCTCACATGGAATATCTACATTGTGGCATAAGCACTTGCCTCCTTGTTTACCAGGCTACATTCTCTTTAAACAGGAATTTTAGATGGATAAATATTAATGTCTGTCTTGATAGTAGATATCCTTTTAAACTAATAATAAGTATTAGATCTGTTTATGCCCTGTAACTCATCCAGAGGCCTTCCTGACATGCAAGACTGTTGTTTCAGCGTACTTCTGTTTAATAATACATTGGTTACCTTTTGTTTTACCAAGTGTAGCAGCTTAAATAATGTTGTTCCTGTACATGTTGTAACAGATGATACCGCCTAGAGGATGTGCCTATATTGTAATGGTTCACAGACAGGATGCTTACCGTGCCCTACAAAAACTGAGCCGAGGCAACTTCAAAGTCAATCAGAAATCTATAAAGGTACTACTTTGAAAACTTTTATAATAGATTCAAACAGTTTTAAAACTTACCGTAATCTTTAAATTTAATATTTTATATATAGCATGACGTTCAGTAACTTAGGTGAATGCCCTACTTAGTTTGGTTATTGGTGAGAATTTGGTATATGGAAATTGATGGAATTTGGATCCTTTCTTCTCTTCCAGGTCACTAACAAGGGTTTCTCTTAAGCTGATAAAAGGTGCCTGTCTTAAATTCCCTTTGTCTTGTAATCATTTTGGAGAAACCCTCAAAGAAAATAGAGTACTAAATAAAGTGAAGCTGATTCAGTAGTGGCATTCTTTCTTCTGAATCAATATTAAATCAGTGACCCAATATCGTTTTAGAGAGTTCGGTGCTGTCTTCTTGAATGACACCGAAATGAAGTGCTGACCATTTGGGATCATTTAAAATAAATCAAAATCTTATAGCATCTTTTACAAAATACATAGAAGAATTAGCCCAGACAGTCTGATTAAATTCCAGTATTTATAATTGCCTAAATTTCTCCTGCAGCTACGGTTGGACACAGTATCCTTCTGTTGCTTCCTGACCTATGTTGTGATGCTGAATGCTGTTTAATTTTAAGTGCATATTTTCTGAGTACTGAACAAAAAAGTTAAAATGCAGTTGGGCTCTGACCTTTTTTTTTTTTCCCCCCCCTTAAGATTGCGTGGGCTTTAAATAAAGGAATTAAACCAGACTATAAGCAGTATTGGGATGTAGAATTAGGTGTTACCTACGTACCGTGGGACAAAGTGAAGCCTGAAGACCTTGAAAGTTTTTGTGAAGGAGGAATGTTGGACAATGAAACTCTTAGCCCAGGTAAAATACACAGATTTTTTTAAATCATCTTCAAATGAATTATTTTGGGTTGATTTAACTAGAGCTGTGAATGGTTTGTTTCAATAGAAATCTGTTATTTACAAACATGTTAATATTGATTGTATAGAAATATTGTATTTGTCTTGACCTAAACTATACGCATAGACTTCTGTATGTATACACGTGTACTGAAAATGCAAGTTTTGTTAAGTTTATAATAAGAAAATAGTGATAGATATCGTGGTAAACCGCTTAATGGGAATTACCAAGTTCTGGCTCAACACAAGTGCTAATGATAGCTTTCAGTACTAACTGTTGTGTTTTAAGAAGTGCATAAAACAACCATGTGACCAAAACTTATTTTAAAGTTGGAAGTTATTGTGTCTGTATTTGTGAACTGGTGATATGGAACACTAGACTATTGTTGATTTTAACAGTTTAGCCATTGATGTGTGTGAGAAACTTCAGTGGCCGATCAGTGTTATTTCAACATTCTTCATTGTTCTATCCAATTTTTAGCTAGCTCTGGGTCATTTTTCTCCCAAATAAATGCTTTAATAAGCAAAAAAGCCAAGAATACATTAAAATGAGCGATAATATGTGAAAGCTTATTCAGAGATAATCTGGGATAGACTTCACATTGGGTTTACTCAAATTTTTTTACTTACAGTAGCCTAAGTGATTTCAGGCATTTTGCATCATCTCAGCCACTATTTCAGTCTCATCTCAGTGCAGCATTTCTGTTGATAGCAAATCAACACTTGTGTTCCATCATCAAGAATGGCATTCTAAATCTCTTGTCTTTTCTCTTGCTGTTTTATTCTTTTTTGGGTTTAATATCTGGACTGTTTCTCCAGGTATTTTTTTGCCTCATCCATCTTGCTTTTTTCTCTGCTGGTTTCTAAGGCCTTGGCTACACTTGCAGCTGTACAGCGCTGTGAGGTAAACCTGTCTTCGTACAGCTGAGTAGGGAAAAGCGCTGCAGTCTGTCCACACTGACAGCTGCCAGCGCAGTGGTGTGGCCACACTTGCAACATTTGCAACTGTGTTGGGAGCGGTGCATTATGGGCAGCTATCCCAGCATTCATGTGGCTGCAATGTGCTTTTCAAAACGGGTGGGGTGGGGTGGAGAGAGAGTGCTTTTTGGAGCATGGCTAATCTTCACATTGGCTTTACTTAGCAGCAGTCGATAGTGACTAAATATTCATACTCTTTCAACTGAACTGGCTTCTGTTTATTTCCTGTAGAGTGGAAAGGAATTTCTAAGAAATCTGAAAATGAAGTAGCTCAAAATGGAGGTGCAGAAACTACACATAATGAACCAGTGTCACCTATCCCTAAAGCATTGCCTGTTCCAATTCCTGTTCCCATACCGGCACCTATAACAGTACCTCCTCCACAGGTGAGATTGTTTACTCGTTTCTCTCCATTTGCTGCTGGATAGCTGCAACTAGAAACATATTTAAATCACAGTTCAACTTGTCAGTTCATGAATTAATCGTAGAGATGGAAGGATGGGGGAAACAGAAGTCACAGAGTATCTGAGGTAGTGTTTAGCCTTTTTTTATTCTGGTATGCCTGTCTAATAACTGGTAACCCTGGCAGTGTCTCTCACATATAATCTTCTTTTCCCACATCCAGCTTCTACCTGATACCAACTGCTTGAATCTTTTTTTACAAAAAAAAAAAAAGCAGTGCAACTTCAGCCTAGTCTCACTTCCCAGCTGAGCACACCTTAGCAAAAAGCAACTGGTCTGATCCTAGCTGCTGAACTAAGTCTCAATGATAGTTACAAAAGAACTTTAAAAATCACAGAAGATGGAGATGAGGTATATGTGACGGGTTGGATCACGGAAACCCCCTTGGGAACTGCCAACTGATGTGCCAAGACTACTACTGCCCCTGCTTTCCCTGTCAGCTCAGGACTCCAGCACTCTGTCTTGTTGAGCCAGACACATCCGTCTGCTCCAAAACCAACCCAGGGTCTGAATTATGTGCCCCAAAGCTGCAGACCTAACTGAAAGCAGCCTACAGAAGTGTTCCTGTCTTTAACACTCAGATGCCCAACTCCCAATGGGGTCTAAACTCAAATAAATCCATTTTACCCTGTATAAAGCTTATGCAGGGTAAACTCAAATTGTTTCCCCTCTATAACACTGATAGAGAGATATGCACAGCTGTTTGCCCCCTCTCCCCCCCAGGTATTAATACATATTCTGGGTTAATAAGTAAAAAGTGATTTTATTAAATACAGAAAGTAGGATTTAAGTGGTTCCAAGTAATAGCAGACAGAACAAAGTGAATTACCAAGCAAAATAAAATAGAACACGCAAGTCTGTCTAAGAAACTGAATACAGATAAAAACCTCACCCAGTAGAATTTGAACAAAAATTAGTGTTTTCGATACTTCACTGAGTTAGCCTTTGAGTACTTCACTAAAAGTTTAGAAAAATCTATTGTTATGGTGCAGTAATGCTGCTTCTTTGAGGAGTGTCCCTATGGGTGCTCTGCTTCAGGTGTGCATGCACTGCATATGCCTTCAATCCGAGACTTTCATTAGCTGTGTCAATTCAGCCCGTGCATGCACCCTACACAACCTCATGCCCCACCCCAAGGCTATAGAGGGCTGCCTAGGTGAACCAACCATACTTCCTTCTCAACTGCCTTGGCCTGAGATGGAGCTTTAGTATGTCCACCTTGAGCGTGCTTTGGCTGTTTTTTTCTCCCTGATTATTTAGTTTAGTTTTTTAGTTTAGTAATTGAAAGGATTCGTTTTGTTCCTCTGTCCTCCCTCTGGAGAGATTTCCTTTCCTTGGAAGGGCATGCCAGGCTCACCAGGGTTCAAAGTGTGCTTTCCTTGCTGGGAAGCCATCCCTGTTAGTGATCCTGACAGTCACTGTAACAGTGGATGCATCCCTGTTGGGAGGGAGAGCTCCAAGGCAAATGGTCACTTCAAGAAACCAGTCTTCACATCAACCTATTGGAACTCAGGGCAGTCAGGAGTTCCTGCCTCTCATCAGGGACAAGTCAATCTGTGTCATGCAACCTACAAGTAGGAATGAGATCTCCTCTCTCTGTGCGCTAAAGCAATACAGCTTATAAAAAGGCAGCCAGTCGTGAACCTAGGGAGCAATGAACCGAGAAGAAGCAAACACAAGGAGTTTGCCTTGGAGCTCTCCTAGGGAGAGAGCACAGAGTTTTTGCCTTTCAGGCTTCCGGAAACAATAAAAACATGGTCTGAAGAGGCTCTTGATACATTACAAGGAAGAAAATATGGGTAGTAAGGTATCAACTATTGTGACCTGCACAGGATATGTTTGGTTTTCTCCTGGAGGATAGAAGCGACTTCAACTGTATGAAGTGCAAGCCAGTCTCCTTACTGGAAGAAAAGGTTAAAGGACTGGAGGCCCAAGTAGCGATCCTGCTTTGCATCAGAGAAAATGAAGACTTCCGGAATAAAAGTCAGGATTTGGTTCTGTAGGCACAGCATTCTGAAGAATCAGAGAAGGCAGTGCAGGGGGGACTGAAGAGCAGTGAAGAAAATTGGCAGTGTGAGACCTCCAAAAGGAGGAGGGGAACTGGTATACCTCCAACACAGAGGTAAGCAACCATTTTCAAGCTCTCGGTACAGGTACCGCTGTTGAGAATGCCTTTGAGTAATCTGAGGGAATGGATCAGAAGGAGACCCCTCTTGACTGGAAGGCATGAGATACATTGTCCTAGGAATAGGGGTTCCACTACTATCCAAGTGGAGGAGAAAGGTGGTGGTGATCAGGGACTCCCTCCTAGGGGGAATGGAGACATTCATCAGCCATCTGGACTGGGAATCCCGAGAAGTGTGCTGCTTGCCTGGAACCTGAATTCAGGATGTGACAGAGTCTGCCGAGACACATCAAGGCCTCGGACTGCTACACCTTCCCATTTATCCGCATCAGTGATACCGCCAAAAATGACCTTGAGCAGATCACTGCAGACTACTTGTCTCTGGGAAGAAGGATAAAAGAGTTTGGAGGGCAAGTGGTGTTCTCGTCCATCCTCCCTGTCAAAGGAAAAGGCCCAGGCAGGCACCATCGAAACATGGAAGTAAATGCGTGGCTACACAAATGGTGTCAGCAAGAGAGCTTTGGTTTCTCCGACAATGAGCTGATGTTTCAGGAAAGAGGATTACTGTGCTGGGATGAGCTCCATCTATCAAATACTGGGAAGAGCATCTTTGGTCATTGTCTGGCTAATCTTATAGGGAGAGCTTTAAACTAGATCTCAAAAATCTGGCCAATGCGCATCTAGGCTCAAGTAATGAAGACAAGGGGAAGGGGCTAAATTCTGGAAAAGAGATCAGAAATGACAACTGCATTAGAGGGGCAAGAAGAAAAATAGGGCAGTCTGTGAAGTATCTTGTGATGCCTGTATATCAATGCAAGGAGTATGGGAAACAAGCAGGATGAACTGAAGTCATGGTATGTGAAGAAAATTATGACTTAATTGGCATCACAGGGACTTGGTGGAACAACTCCCATGATTGGAGTACCAGCATTGGGGGATATAGCTTGTTCCAGAAGGATAAGTATGGGAAAAAAGGAGGTGGTGTTGAACTGTACATCAAGAATGTATACACTTGCTCCAAGGGCCAAGAGGAAATGAGCAGCAGTCCTACTAGAGTATCTGGGTGAGGATAAAAAGTGAAAAGAATAGTAGTGATGTTACGGTGGGAGGTATTATGGACCACCAAATCAAGAGGAGAAAGTGGATGAGGCATTCTTCAAGCAGGTAATGAGATTAGCTAACAACATGAGCTAGTATTAATGGGGGATTTTAACTTCCCTTGTATCTGTTGGAAGACTAACAGAAAAACATGATATGTCCTGAAAGTTCTTAGCATGTATAGGGGACAACTTTCTGAATCAGAAAGTTGAGGAAACAACTAGGGGGTCATCCATTTTGGATCTGGTTTAGACCAACAGGGATGAATTAGTAATGAATGCAAAGGTGGTTGGAAACTTAGGAAGAAGTGATAATGATCTGATAGAATTCAAGATCTAATGGAAAGGAGGACATGAGAAGAGAAAAACAAGGACACTGGGCTTCAAAAAGGCAGATTTCAACCAACTCAGAGAAATAGTAGGCAAGGTCCCATGGAGAGACCAGTTAGGAAGAAAAGAAGTTGAAGAGGGCTGGCAGTTCCTTAAAGATGTAATACTAGAGCAAGGGTGGCCAAACCATGGCTCGCAAGCCACATGTAGCTCTTTTACAGTTGAAGTGCTGCTTGCGGAGGCTCCCCCCACCCCCCAATTCTTCACCTACCAGACATTGGTGGGGGGGAGCAAGGGGCCTTCTGCCCTGTGACAGGGTGGTGGGATTAGGGGCTTCCGCCCTGCAGGGCATGTCTGCCGGGGCTTGAGCTGGAGCCCCAGAAGGCGCCTCCCCACATGGCAGAAGCCCCAAGCCACGACAGGCACACCCAGCTCTCAAACTTCTGAAGATTATCATATGCGGCTTGGAGGGTCAGTAAGTTTGGCCACCCCCGTATTGGAGGCTCAACATCAAGCTATTCTAATGCAGAGGAAAAATAAGAGCACAAGAGACCAATGTGGCTGCACAAGAAGCTTTTCAGCTATCTAAAAACCAAAAAGGATGGATACAGAAAATGAAAGGAAGGGGTATGTCACTAAGGATGTATACATATAAATAGCACAAGCACATAGGGACAGAGTCAGGAAAGCCAACTCAAGAAATAAGTTACAACTGGCAGGAAATGTTACAGACAACAAGAAGGGGTCCTACAGATGTATCAGACAAAAAAGAAAAATCAGGGATGGTGCGGGCCCGTGAAGGTGGTGTGCTGGTAACAGATAAGAAGGCAGAGCTGTTCAATGCCTACTTTGCTCCAGTCTTCACACACACAATAACTTTGCTAGTCATCCAGTCACATGTTATCATAGACAATAAAGGGGAAGAGATGCAGATTGGGATAAGTAAAGAACATGGCAGAGATCTTCTGATTAAATTGAATGAATTCAAGTCAGCAGGGCCTGATGCTATTCACCCCAGGGTCTGAAGGAATTAGCTGAAGAAATCTTGGTGCCACTGGCGATAATATTTGCAAACTCATGGATGACAGGAGATGTCCCGGAAGACTGGAGAAGGGCTAATGTAGTGCCCATCCTTTTAAAAGGGGGAAAGGAAGAACTGGGGAACTATAGACCAGTCAGCCTGAGCTCGATACCTGGGAAGCTATTAGAGCAATGAATAAAGCATTCCATTTGCAAATACCTTGATGATGAAGGGGTGATCACTAGCAGCCAGCATGGATTTACCAAGAACAAATCATGCCAAACCAGCTTGATTTTCATCTTCGACATGGTAACTGATTTGGTGGATAGGGAGAATGCGGTGGACATAATATATCTGGAGTTCCTCAAGGCTTTTGACACAGTCCCAAATAACACTCTCATGAGTAAGCTGGAGAAATGCTGGCACTGTAGACCTACCATTAAATGGATACATAATTGGTTAAACAACTGCAAAGAGTAACCATTAATTGAATGATGCCAGATTGGAAGGAGGTCTCAAGTAGGGTTCTACAGGGATCTTTTCTGGGCCTGGTGTTATTTAGCATCTTTATTAATGACCTGGATATAGAAGCATATTGATCAAATTTACAGATGCGACAAAGATGGGGTGGTTGCAAACCCTTTGAAGGCAGAACTAAAATTCAAAGGGGTCTTGATAAATTGGAGAACTGGGCTATAAATAACAAAATAAAATTCAACAAAGACAAATGTAAGGTGCTACACTTAGGGAAGAACAGATCACAACCTCAACATGAGTCAAAAATGTGATGCTGTTGCAAAAACAGCTAATGCAATTTTGGGTTGCATTAACAGAGGCATAGCATGCAAGTCACAGGAGGAGATAGTACCACTCTATTTGGCACTAGTTAGGCCTCATCTGGAGTACTGTGTCCAATTTTGGTCACCGCTGTATAGAAAGGATGTAGAGAAACTGGAAAGGATCCAGAAGCAAGTGACAAAAATGACCAAAGAGATGGAATGCAAGCCATATGAGCAAAGGCTGAAGGAACTGGGTATGTTTAGTTTGGAAAAGAGGAGATTAAGGGGAGACATGATAGCAGTGTTATGCTATACAAAGCACATGGGATCTTTTATAGAGAAGAAGGCAAATACGCCGCATTTATTGAAAATACAACAGTTAGCATATGCTTTACACACACACTCACACTCCTGCCAGTTGATGTTTATAGTTACCAGTCTGTTGTAGCTCGAGTCAATCTAATGGCCTGTTAGATTGAGCACGAGTGTGGAGCTGGGCTGTATCGGTCGCGATCCGATGCTCCGCGGCTTTGCAGGACTGAACCCATAGTTCCATGGCAAAACACCCCAGCTTTATAGTTGTAAATTTCCATTTGAGTCCATGCATTTTTGCAATGTCATCCTGTCCTTAAGTGGTGGTAATCTTGGGGTTTTCTGCTGTTATCATTTGATGGTTATTGTCGAGCTTCCCATCGTTATCTCCTATTTGTTGTCTCACCTTCGGGGGTGCCTGCCTCACTTCTTGAGGTCATCAATGCTGCTAACATGTTTAGCATCGGATACAATGGATGTTTTCTGATTGTTTCCTGGTCTTTCCAAGTCTCTCACTTTTTCTTGATCATCTGGACATTTGTGATGGCATCCACACCTTAACTTTTCCTGAGGCATGCATTCCTCATTCACACAAACAATCTCTTACAGAAACCTTCAAAGGTATACAGACAGCAGTATTTTATATTCAGCAGAATACATTGTAAATCAAGCCTTGCTAAATCTTATAACTAAAACAATTCACATTGGGGCTTCAGTCCCTCAACATTCCTCTAATCTCCTTAACATAGATACAATACAAGATCCTGTCTCTTACTTACTAAAACCTTAAAACAAAGAAATATATATTTAACTAGAGTGCCTAATTTGTAATACATATAGGAAACCATAGTAGACATTATAACTTATCCTGGATTGTTCTGGTCTGTCATTCCTTTCTGCTATTCAAAAAGAGTGGCTGGGCAGGATGAAATCAAGTCATAAATTAATTCTCATAGTACAATTATAAAATCCTGCTCCTTACAGCAGTCTTCAAATACTTTAAAGGCTGCCATGTGAAAGATGGAGAAAAATTGTTCTGTCTTGCCACAGAGGGCAGGACAAGAGACAATAGGTTCAAACTACAACATGGCAGATTTAGATTAAATCTCAGAAAAAGCTTCCTAACTGTAAGAACAATATGTCAACGGAACAAACTGCCCGAGGGAAGTCATGGAATCTCTTTCGCTGGAGGTTTTCAAAAAGGGGCTGGATAGCCATCAGTTTAGACCTACAACAAATCCTGCATCTTGGCAGGGGGTTAGACTAGATCAGTGGTTTTCAAACTTTTTTTCTGGCGACCCAGTTGAAGAAAATTATTGATGCCCGTGACCCAACGGAGCTGGGGATAAGGGGTTTGGGAGAGGGCTCTGGGCTGGGGGTGCAGGCTCTGGGGTGGGGCTGGGGATGAGGGGTTTGGGGTGCAGGAGGGGGTCCGGGTTTGGGGGGTGCTCAGGGCTGGGGCAGGGGATTGGGACGTGGGCTTACCTCAGTTGGCTGTGGTGCAATGGGGATGCTAAGGCATGCTTCCTGCCTCTCCTGGCACAGCGGACTGTGCTGTGCTTTGCCCCGGAAGTGGACAGCAGCAGGTCTGGCTCCTAGGCAGAGGTGTGCTGCTCTCGCCTGCAGGCACCGCCCCTCCCTGCCCCCCAGCTCCAGAGTGCGGAGCCGGTGCTCAGGGCAGGGGCAACGTGCAGAGCCTCCCTACCTAGGAGCTGAACCTGCTGCTGGCTGCTTCCGAGGCACAGCAAGATGTCAGAACAGGTAGGGACTAGCCTGCCTTAGCTGGGCAGCACCGCCGACAGGACTTTTTAATAGCCTGGTCTGCAGGTCTGACCAGAGCCGCTGCGACACAGTGCCTTGCATTCCGTGACCCAGTACTAGGTCATGACCCGCAGTTTGAAAACCACTGGACTAGATGACCCTTGCGGTCTCTTCTAACCCTATGGTTCTGTGATTCAAATGTTCTTTTGTCAAGTTTTAAAGTACAAACTGTTTTAGTAGTTAGTGTCCACTAGTTAATAATAGTGGTATTTGGAAACTCATTGTTATGCAATGGACAACTTACCTTAGTTGAAATTTTTTTCTAAATCAATGGAGTCTAAACTTTCTTGTCTGAGTATCAAACATATTTAAAAAGGACTAGGGCTACAATCAGTACTTTGAAGCAGATTCTTTGCCTTTTTCCATTCCTTTCTAGCAGCGGCAGCTCCAGGGACCAGCGCAGCAAGTGTGTGCCTGGGGTGGCAAGCTGCTGGGGGGCGGCCTGGCGTTCGCTCCGAGGGCGGCAGTCAGGCCACCTTCGGCAGCATGCCTGCGGGAGGTCCGCCGGTCCTGCGGCTTCGGCAGCAATTCGGCGGCGGGTACGCCAAAGGCGCGGGACCGGCGGACCTCCCGCAGGCGCGCCGCCGAAGGCGGCCTGACTGCCGTGCTTGGGGCGGCAAAAAAGCTAGAGCCACCCCTGCTTTCTAGAAAGTAGATACCACCCAAAAATCCACCATTGGTCAGTAACTGCATGTAGTCTTCCAAATGACCCATTAGAGATCTTTTTAGGTCTCTCAATTAATGAGGCAGCCTTTTTAAAACTTAAATCTTCAGTATGTTTTAGTAGTATCATGGCTATTACTATTGGGAATTGGGAAAAGAAAATGCTCTCCCCTTATTACTTGGTGTAATATACTGAGAAAGTTTTGTTTCGCTTATGTTTGGGATCTAGTTTTAATAATGAAATTAATGCATTAAATTAAAACTCAACAAAGAGGACAAACCTCTATCATATGTAAACATCAGAAGTCCTTTTATTTTAATTTTCAGATAAAATACATTAACCAGATGTAATGAATGAGATGTTGATTTACACGAAAAATTCCAGTGAAAATGTCCATGTACACTAGCAGGAAATACAGAAAACTCTCATAACACCTTTATGAAAACTGACTAACAACTGTATCTAAGAAATATAACCAAAACAATACACACAGCAGGAAGGAAATGTAAATTAAAATTAACTTTATAACATTTTAAAATAGGAAATATTATGTTGAGTCATATTTCAGGCAGAGTCTACACTTAAATGAAAATAAATTCAAGTCCGCTCTGAAAAACAAAATTATATTTTAAAAAAAGTTGTTATGAGAATGGTGGGATTGGGTTGTATGTTCCTATCAATCTCCATATCAAATTTGCTTATTTTATGGCAAAAAGACATCATCTCTGATAGCTCATGCAAACTCAGCTTAGGATCTGAGAGTTGAGCTGGGTCTTCCCTTCTTGTCCAATTGCCCTGTTTCATTCATTCTCTCTGAAGCACCTGGCATTGGTCACTGTCGGAAGACAGGATGCTGTAGTAGATAGACCATTGGTCTGACCCAGTATGGTGGTTCTTATGTTCTAAGGAATACAGTTCAGTTAAATCAAGAGTTATCATGGGTCTCCAGTGCTATTAGGAGTAAAAAAATACCTACTCAGATGCGACGGAATCCGTGACCAAATCGTATCCGTATTTATAAGGTGCCATTTTTATCTAGTCACTTTTCAGAGCAGAACTGCAGTTTAATGTGATGGTGTTCTGTGTGTTCTCCAGTGTTTGAGTAAAATCACAGCCATCTGTGATCAGTTTCAGTTTTGACAGTAAATTTGTTACTTTGTCTTGTCTAACAAAGTAAGCACAGCAGACTATTTCTCACCAAATGCATGTGGTTTTGAGGCTAACTCTTCCTTCCTCCTCTGTAGGTTCCACCACATCCATCGGTTCCACCACATCCATCAGGTCCACCTGTAGTTGGTGCACTTCAGCCGCCTACTTTCACGGCTCCTTTAGGGATCCCTCCTCCTGGGTTTGGCCCACCACCACCTCCATTTTTGCGACCTGGATTCAATCCAATGCATTTGCCCCCAGGTATATTAAGTACTTCCAGAGAATATACTTTGATTTAAACTTATAACCATTAAAAGTGTCTGCACTAAAACATGATCTAAAAGTACACAGTGTTAAAATTTGTCAATTTTTGTGTTTGTTCATATAGGTTTTCTTCCTCCTGGACCGCCACCTCCTATAACCCCTCCAGTATCTGTTCCTCACACTCCAGGAATAAGCATCCCAAATTGTAAGTGTGTGTGTGTACATTGATTAAGGGGACTATAGAGAGAAGGAATTAGATGTATGCAGGAAAAATTACATCTAACTTTTCATATATTAATGTAATTGTTCCTCAGCTACTGTGGCTGGCATAAATGAAGACACTACAAAAGACTTATCTATTGGAAATCCCATTCCAACTGTGGTTTCTGGATCGAGAGGGAATGCTGAAACTAGTGATGGTTCCAAAATATTTGGGACTGTTCCACCACCTGTAGCACCTACTAACATACCTCCACCTGTCACCCAACCTATTTCACTTCTTGGTAAGTTCATTTTTTATTGTTTGCATATTTTTCAATTTATGCTCAGTTTGTTTAAGAAACAGGGTGGTGGTTGTTGGTTTTTTTTAAAGTAAACTAGGAGGTTTATGCTTCTTTCCTTGTTATCTATTTAAAATTTATGGGAAACTAAAACAGTTCAGAGCAAGCTGTGTACTGAAAGTTCTGTCTTGTTTATGTATGGCCAGTACTGGCCTTTTTATACATTTGGCTTGGTCTAGAACAAGCATTTAAACTTTAATTTTGTCTTCTGTTTCCTCATAAATGAAGACCCTATGTTGTTAATCTAATTCTAAATCTTGAATAAAGTTTGGGACTGACTGACTCAGTCTAATGTTTAGACTGTTCCAGCAAATATGTACACTCATCCAAATAAGACTTTTAATTTAGCAATTAGCTTTATGACATCCAGGTGTTTGGTCATATGGCATGATCTGTGCTCTAAGCTCGAATTTTGTGTGCATGGAGGAAATTGTACACATGCATTGAAAGAATGCTATTTTCCTGAAAATAAATTTTAAAAAATCTGAACAATTGGTATATTATTTTTGTCTACAAAAATGGTAATTTTATATATATTGTCTTGACCTAGCTCTGTTGTATGCAAAAGCTTTAGTAACTGCCTGTGGTACATGATCTCTTAAGTGTTAAATCTTAATAAATATTTACATTATAGAAGAAGAGATTTGAAAACATATTAGATTTGTACATACCAAAGTTGGTTTACTTGATTATTTATTTATTTTTTAAGTACATGTGAATACATGCAGATTGTAAAGGCAATTTAGTTTTCTACGGGTATGTTAAGAATGTCTTTCACATACCCCTTACTTGTTTCTTACCAGTATGGGTCATTTTATCACATATGCACTCAAAAGTCTGCTCTAATTTTCAGATTGATTATAATAAAATAAAATACTTATATTGCAGCAAACCATCTTTTAAATTTGGTTGTGGGAGTTTACAAAGAAGAGCTTGGCATGAATGATATAAAAGGATAACATTATTTAGTATAGTGTCCAGAAATTTGCTGAGTGCGTTACAGAAGTAGAAGGACATGGACCTTACCCTGAAAAATCTCATAGTGGACATGGTGGCCAAGATATTTAAAAGTGATTAGTGATTTTTTTTGGAGGCCCCCACTTGGAAACTCAAAAATTGAAATAACTTGAAGAGACCTGATTTTCAGAAAGTGCTGAGCACACACCCTCTGAAAATGAGGCTGCTTTAAGGTGCCTCTAAGTGGACATTCAAAATCAGCGTTCACTTGTGAAAATCTAGTCCAGTGTGACAAGTGGGGGGATAACAAACTGTAGGGAAGGTGTGGCTTGAGAGAGGATGGTGGTTATAGTGATAAGATCACTTGGTTATTCAGTCAGGCATGTGGACATCTTGATGTCTCGATTTTTTTTTTTTTTTAATAACTTGACTCAATATAAAAATGTGGGTTTTTTTAATCTGTTTGGTAATTGTACCATAATGTAACCTAGATCTTACTCAAAACAATTAAATTTATTAGAGTATTGTACTGTTTGCTGTTTGACTTTGTATATAAGGGATTTTATTTAGTGAGGTGAAAACCAACTTCATAAAGGAAAATAAATTCAAGTGACATTGTCAGCTTTTAAAAAAAATCAAAACATTTCTGAATCTTTTTAATTGCTGTGTTTACATGTGAAAGAGCTTAGAGAAATAGACTGAAAATTTTTTCTCCATTTTTATCAGTTTAACTTCATACATGGACAGTACTTGGCATACAGGAAAAACTGTGATGCTGATCTTACAGTCAGATTAGTTTATTCCAACATTCTGGATATTTACTGAGTGGGGTGGGGGGAGAAGCATTTTTTGAAAAGTGATTGTAAAAGCAGAATTTTTCAAGCAGGCTTGTTTCAAGTACTATACCTGTCCCTACTTTGCCACTACTAAAAATGATTATTTCAAGTTGATAGGTGTCCCTTTTACATTAGAGATTATATATACCAAGGAATTATGCAAGAACATGCAGATGAGACAAAAAACATCGCAGGAACAGTAGAAATAAATATATACAAAGAGATGCATGCATTTTACAAATTAAAAGTCAGAAATTAACATCCTTGTTGTATTTACTAACTGAAAATCAACTGAAATTCTCGCATCCTTAAAAAAGGAATATTCAAAGTGCATTACCCCTAGAGCAGGGGTGGCCAACCTGTGGCTCCGGAGCCACATGTGGCTCTTCAGAAGTTAATATGCGGCTCCTTGTATAGGCACCGACTCTGGGGCTGGAGCTACAGGCGCCAACATTCCAATGTGCTCACTGCTCAACCGCTGGCTCCACCCCTTCCTGCCCCCTAGCCTGAGCCTGCCATGCCCTTGCTCCTCTCCCCCCCCCCCCGAGCCTCCTGCGTGCCCCGGGACCGCTGATCGGGGGGGACGGGGGAGGCACTGATTGGGGCTGCCAGTGGGTGGGAGGCGCTGGGGGGTGGTGGGAGGGAGCTGATTGGGGTCTGCTGATGTATTACTTTGGCTCTTTGGCAATGTACATTGGTAAATTCTGGCTCCTTCTCAGGCTCAGGTTGGCCACCCCTGCCCTAGAGGGTTGAGTTCAGTACTGCTGTGTGAGAGAACCAGACCTGGTCTCTTGTTCACTAGACTAGCAAGAGACTGGGTGGGAAGCAGAAATTGTTCTCCTTCACTTAGGATAGTAAAGTAGAGTGCCTTGCATAACTCTTCTGAATTATTATCAAAATGGGAAGGGTATTAGAAGATAATACAACAGGCTGTAAACAGTTACCTGCAATTAGCTCTCCATTGCCATGGAGAGAAGCAAGCAAGGGGCATCAAACACCTTGGACAATAGAACCTTTCATTCTTGAATATGGGGTGTAGCTATTTGGAATAGACATTGACAAATTCTACATGAAGCCCCTGTCCAGCTTCTTCTGGGCCATGAGGTGGGCCTTCAAAATTGAGAGAAGTGGGGAAGCAAATAGATGGAAAGATTTTCAAATCTTTCAAGAGCATCATGAAGGTCCATCTGAGGAACTAGGGGTGATCTGGGGTGGGGGGGGTGGGAAGGAGGAGGGAAATGATCTTCAACGATGTGGACAACATAGAAGAACATATCTCAGCCAGTGGAATTTAAGGAAAGAAGATTGTTCTGACAAGATGTTCATAAAAGTCTAACCCTAATAATCTTGCCTGGGAATACTTTAAATGTAATCTGTATAAAGGCAGGGTCTTTCTTCTAATATTTTTGTAAATTAAAATGAAGCTTATTTATCTGTTTGGTTTACAAAAAACATGTATTATTGTATATAGAGTTCTAAATGGACTAATTACTGTAAGCTTCCTTATGCTGTTTTACAGTGATGTCATAGTTACGTTTTGTTCTGTCACTCCAGTCACCTATCCAGTTCACATCTGCAGTATAGTTCCCTTCTCAACAGACACAGTTTTGGTTCTGATTACCTTTACAGTCACATTGTGTCTGAATTTTATGTACAATATTAATTTCTGAAAGGACCTTTTTGTGCACTGTGAGTCTCCATAATGATTTGAACTACCTGAAGATCTTTGGTTTTAACCAAATAGTTCACCTTCAGATGCACAGATTATTTCATGTAGAAGATACAAAAAAGTAGTCTTGGAAGAAAAATTGATACACAGCCCTAATTCTAGTAGCAGTGTGTCATTGTACCACTGTGTTCAAGTGCTGATAACTCAGCTTCAAAATGAAAAAATACATTTTTTGGTGTGATGTCTACATATGAGAGCAGTTTTTTAATAATTTTAACAACCAATCACATTTAATATAATTCTTCAGTTTAAAACACCCTTGACTTTTTAGCCAATACAGTGGCTAAATATTTCCACCTTTTCAAAATATCTTTTTTGGAATGGAACATCCAAAGCACTGTTTATTTCCCCAACATTAAGTGAAGTTTTACAACCATGTCAGGGTGGCTTTAATTCAATGGATGCTCCTGATCATATCTACTTTCATGATAGTATTCTCAATCTGAGCAAGACTGTAGAAACACAACTTCACTTTGATGTTTTTGGTCTCATCCAAACTGCTCATAACATAACTTGGGATGTGATGTCATAAGTTCTCATATGCAAAGCAGATTTTTAGATCCTGCCAGAGATTATTGATCTGCCTCCTGCAAGAAGTGGTGGTCTTGACTCACTAGGTGGTACTTTATTATTGAACAAATGCTCTAGCTTTAGTAGGCATGTCACTATTGAATATATGTTTGAGATGGATGTTAAAAGGCTCTGACCTGGCTTTTTTTATGCTAATTGAGATACTGTGTCACACTTGGTATAAGTAGAAATCTTCTGGTGACCATCAAAATTCCAACTCTGGCACTTGCATTCTACCCTAAAACAAATTTTGCTATAATCAACTTCCTGATAATATTAAATGTGTGGTGCATATCTCTTCTCTCACCATCTGCCATCCTTCTGTGAGGTAACTGCATGTTAGTGTAATCTATGTTAATAGAGAAAAATAAAGTAAAACACTCTGAGAAAAGATAACACTCTATTTTGAGCTAAATCGAAGCAGTGAATGTGTATTACAAAGTGGCAATTAGGAAAGGAAGTTTATGGGCTATTTTTAAAATTTACACTGTGCTGGTGACATAACTGTACTGCTAGACTTTTTTTGTGATAACTCATTGTTACAAAAATACAATAAACATTTTATTTTTCTCCTTAATGTAGTAGCAATACCAACTCTCAAGACAAGTGACCAAATGAGAAGTCTAGTGGAATTCATAGAATATTAGGGTTGGAAGAGACTTCAGGAGGTCATTTAGTCCAATTCCCTGCTCAAAGCAGGACCAACACCAACTAAATCATCCCAGCCAGGGCTTTGTCAAGCTGGGCCTTAAAAACCTCTAAGGATGGAGATTCCATCACCTCCCTAGGTAACCCATTCCAGTAAGGGAGGGAGAGCTCTCAAACACCATTCCTGTAATTGAACTCTACCTTAAATCAGTCACATGACATGCTTTGATTTCACTAACAAATGTTTTATAAAATCAATAACATAATTTATATATTGGTAGCCAAAGCTTGATACGATAACCAAGATTTTTAAAAAATGATGCCTAAAGTTAGGCTCTGAAGTTTGTATTTGGGCACGTAAATAAGTACCATGATTTTCAAAAGTGCTGAACATTCAGCAACTCCCATTGGCTTCTGGGGAAGCTATTGAGTGCTTGGCACTATAGAAAATCAGACCAATTATTTTGGTGCCTAAATATGGACTTACAGCCTAAATTTAGACTTTAAATCTTGGCCTGTGTTAATGGATGCGATAGAAAACTGAGAGAAACAAAACTTCTTGGTTTCAGACATGAACTCAATCTTGAAAACACAAGAAGCTATGTCAAGTGAAATTGTGCATAAAATTATAATAAAGGAAATAGTGAAGTTGGGAGGAAATGACTGTTTACATCATTTAGAAATTTTTGCCGTGCAGCACCATTTTCATGGATTTCATGACAGTATTTAACTTTCCAATTTTATGGTGAGCAGTGTTAAGATCTTATCAGAGATTTGCAATGCAAAATCTGATAGTTGTTGGAAATTAAACATTTTGAAATCTTAGCAATAGCCTCCACCTTAAACATTTGACCAGCTGATGGTCTAACAATGTCCCAGAATTTTGAATCTCAATATTTATATGTCATCCTAACAGATCTCCAGAAGAGGGTGTGTTTTGGAGCAAAAATGGATAAAGTTACACTGGACTTTGGACTGAATATTGTCCAGAGTTTGGTTTTTAAAACAAATGTAATATTTTTCAGCTACTTCAGAGTTACAAATGCTAAACCTAACAAAAGAAACATGTGGATTTGTAAAAACTGCTGGGAGGAGATGAACAGAAGTGGAATTACATTGGCCTAGAACTCTAGCTTTATCATTCATTACAAGTATATTAAAATGACTATATTAACTGTTTTAGTATATTATATCTGACAAACCCTGGACTAAAGCTGCTTATACAAAACAAGGCAATTACAGCATTTTGAGGCATAGCTCATCTATGAATGAAGTCGAGTGTCACAAAAGCAGCTTTTGATACTACGTGTAACACTACTTTACTGAGGCAACATCCATGTTTCTTGTTGAAGAACATATTTCAAATACATTTTATTGCTGAGCTCTTTGTGTTGTATACTTTTAAAAGCTCCTGTCACCTTAGTATATATTGCTGGTAAAAGCTATGTAGGCCATTAATATTTTTTGTCCATATGTGTTGCATGAATGAAACCTGACTCTCACATATTCCTCATATAATAATGGCAATTAATGTCTGTTATGAGTACAAGCCATGTTCTAGCTAAGAGATGCAGAATGAAGCATGTAGTTAACCCATCTGGAGAGTTATAAATGGCTATATGTAATTTAAACCAATTATTAACAAAAAATTTACAATAAATTTGTGTAGTTAAGATGTAATTTATGGACTTTAGGCTTAGAGTAAAATTAGTCTAATGCTTGAGTCAATTCAGTAAAGAAATTCTATAGCCTAACCTTGTATGGTGCAAGGCTAAAACATCCAAGACGCTTCACTTACAGTGAAATCTATTCAACTACTCTGGGATGATGAGTTGGTCCAAGCTGGAAAGAAAGGAACTTGCTGACCGTTTTATGTTCTTACACCGTGAGAAGACTGAGGGTGGGATAGACACCACTGCATTTTCAGTGTGCGGAGGATGAGAAATTAATGAGCAACCAAGACTTCAAAAATGGAATTAATTTTTTTCTTGTCATATTAATGTTTCTAAAGTTTGTTTCAATGTACTCTCATCTGTCCTATGCCAAATATAAACCTAAGGCATCTACCTGCCTTTTTAAACTCATTACATCACAGATTTAGGTTGTTTTTTTATTTGTCACATTTATTCTCTATGCAGGAACTTTGCCTCACAATATAAACAACCAACCATAGACTACACAGAGATGCTGGTTTTATGGCTCATTACAATAATTTGTAGCACACACTACTGCCTGCTAACCCTGAATTGCGCACTTCATTTTAAGTGGTCCCAAAGAAGAGCTTAGTGAAACTCAAAAGCTTGTCCCTTCCACCAACAGAAGTTGGTCCAATAAAAGATATTACCTCACCTACTTTTGACTCTCAGGCATTCTTTGACATTTAAGAAGAATAAAATATGTATTAGCATGTATTGACTATGTGCTGAGCATTGTACAAATATGAGAAAATGGAGTCTCATGAGCTTAGTTTGTTCATAAACCAGATCATCATAGGCACAATTACAAGAATGATATGGTGAAGAGGTTATCAACGTACCCTTCTTTGGGAGACAAAAAAAAAAACACAACTCAAGCTAGCTTTTACTGGTGGATTCTTTATCAAGCATGTCACAGAATCAAACTCTGTAGTTAAAGTATCTGGTTGGAGAGGAAGGCAAGAAGATGGACGACCGTACCATGGACCAGTACAACAGCCAGCTTCTTTATCATTCCTGCAGTAGACTCTTGCTATCTAGAGCCTTTAATATCCATGCTATAAGCAAGGAAGATACCATAGTGCTAGGTGTCAGAGATGGATGACCCTAGTTCCAAGGAATTTAATCTAAATTTAGTTACCATAACTGGAAACAAGACTGTGGGTACTGTGAGATGAGAGATTGTACTTGGGAAAGCATTACACACTACTGATCATTAAACATGTCATGTTTACCTGGGGCAGGGGGAGAGGGCTAAATATAGTCAGATTCACACTGAATTGAGTTGATACTGTAGCTGAAATGGAGTTGAGGAATGTGAAACGGGGGAGAGGTCACTTGATGTGTCTTTTTCCCTCTGCTCACAACAGTGGCTTTAAAATTCAGGCCTTCTGTAGTGGTACTCTTAAGTAATTTAAAAATGTAATACATGGCTTTTGGTTAAGGTTTCTGGTTATTTGTCTCCCCTGGAAGAGCAATCTCAAAACATCTATAAGTTGCGTTGTTAGCTTTATGTTCACTTAGTCTAACTTTCCTGTGACTGTTTTTATGAATAAAATCTATTATCTTCATGATAAAAGTTTAAAAACAAAAGAATGAGACAGATTAAGATCAATTTACATGTGTTATGCTGAATGAAATCCTGCCAATATTCTGATTAAAGTTGAGTCCTGGAGGTTCCTTTCCCTTGAAGTAAAAATATTTTTGTAAAATATCTACATCAGTTTCTAGCTGTAAAGAAGTATTTTCAGACAAGCTTCTCAATGAGCAGAATACAGAAGTGACTGAAATGAGTCACAGGGCTGGGGTTGTAGATGCACTATAAAAGCTAAATAACAGGCCAGCCATGTTATCAACTGTAAACAAATGGAACTGTGCAAGATAAACTCCCACAGTACATGTTTTAAATACTTGGCTGTGACTGTTCTTGCAGTCTGCTCTCTTTTGGACTCCCAAGTACAGAGCGTATGGATGTAAAGAAGCTCAGGACTGAGCCTGCTCTAGGGGGGTGTTCTCAAGTTTTATACTTTTTCCTTATATCTGATCACAGCATTCAAATAGAGCCCAGATTTAAGAATGAAAAACAGTTGAGCGAGACTGCTATAAAGTAATTTAAAGGTTAAAATTTGGCCAACACCTGGCAGTTGCCACCTTAAACTACAAAGTAAAGTGAGTTGTATCTACTCTCACCACCTGCCCAGGTCCCCAGTTCTGGCCACACCCCCATCTCAGGAAGTTATTCTGCACCTGCTGCCCCTCCCCCATTCACTCAGACTCTCTCCCTCCTGCCTAAATTCTAATCTTAACTATTTTCAGTTGGGTATGAATTTAACTTTTCTCCTGCTACTTTAACTACACTTTGCAGGCTGGATAGTGGGGAAGGTGCTGCAGCAGTTGTGAAATATGTGGAATATAAATTGCTAGGAAGTTGGAGGTGTAGCCAGAGCAGTGCAGGGAGGTGGGGATAAACAGCCCACTTCAGTCTCTCTCCTGCACAGTAGCAGCTGCCAGGCTTTGAAAGTAGACTATGAAAAACAAAAATACTATTTAGTATTAACTATTTTTAATGCAAATGTATCAACACAATCTCTATTTAAAAAATGGTGTTTTCTTTTACAGTGTTCAGTATATAGCAGATGTGTATTTATGAGACAAACTACAAGGAGTAAATAAAATTCAAATAGTATGCAAGTAGTTCTGATTTGTCCAGACTTCCTAACCCTACTGTTTTTCATAAGCTTTAAGGGGGTAACTTTCATAAGAGACTCTGAGGTTATGGTCTTTTTATAACAGATTTACTTTTTTTGGTTTGCAGGTACTCAAGGGGTTACACCACCTGCTCCTGTGATCGGGCTACAGGCACCATCTACTGGCCTCCTTGGTGCACGGCCTGGTTTAATACCACTCCAGCGACCTCCAGGAATGCCACCACCTCATCTACAACGGTTTCCCTTGATGCCACCTCGGCACATGCCTCCCCATATGTTGCACAGAGGTCCACCTCCAGGACCAGGGAGCTTTGGAATGCCTCCACCACATGGAATGAAAAACCCTTTTCCACCACCTGGTCACTTTGTCAGGCCTGGTGGGATACCAGGAGTTGGAGGACCAGGTGGGCCTGAAGATAATAGAGATGGAAGGCAGTTTAGGAATGATAGGCAGACATTCACTCCTAATAGAGACCAGGAAAGGTTTGGAAGGAGGTCTTTTGGAAACCGGGTAGAAAATGAGCGTGAGCGCTATGGTAACCGCAACGATGATAGAGATCATGAGCGACTTGGTAATCGTGAAAGGAGAGAATGGGGAAGAAGAAGCCCTGAACGTGATAGACATAGAGACTTGGAGGAGAGAAATAGACGGTCCAGTGGACACCGAGACAGAGAGAGAGATTCTAGAGATAGGGAGTCTCGTAGAGACAAGGAAGAAAATCGAGGAAAGGAAAAACCTGAGCTGACAGACAGGGCAGATGGTGACAAAAACCATGAATCTCATAGTGGCAAAGTGGAAAATGCAGACGTTGTTTCAGAACTTAATAAAGGGGAGTCTGAACCTACAGGTGTAAAACCTGATGAAGAGTTAACATCTGAGGCTACCTCATCTGTTGAGCAAGCCGAAAAGGATACCGGCTCAGTTGTAGAGGCTCCTCGCTAGAGACTGGAATTTGTCAAAAACGTGACAGTGACATTTAATGGAGTGTAGAGCTTTAGAGTTGTACAGTACTGCTGTATTATATTTGCTTCTGCTATACCACAGCCCCTCAGTAGTTTGTGGGGAATTGTAAGCAATTTGATTGCTTCCCTTCTATTTAAAATAGTGTCAACATAACACAAAATACTGAAGATATGAATATTACCCATTTTTGCTGTAACTTTTTTAAAGTTTTGACTTTAAAAAGTTTACAAATCAGAAGTAGAAGTGCTTTCTATTTTTTTTTTTTTTTTTTTTAATTTAAGAAAAGGTAACGGTGAAAGCTCCTCAAAACAATAGGGATGTGTTTTTAATAAACTCTATTTTCGTAACAAACTTTAACGTGTGCTATTCTTCCTACACTGCACTGAAGTGGAAAAGGATTGTTCAACATCTTAAAGTTTGAACTGTTAATGCTGTACTGGAGTCTAAATTAGACTGTTTTGTTTATAATTGTTAAAAAGAAATACATCTGTTTGTGTAGCTATTCACAAAAGCAAATTTTTATTTGTAATAGTTATTTTGATTTTTAGATTGCTGCATTTTAATGATCTACTTGACCATACTAGGTAAAGGTTAGTGGTTTTAAAATGTTATTTGAAGAGGTAATTGTTTAAGTGTTTGCAATGCAATCAAGGTTTTATTTTTTCTCCAATTGGTTCTAGAATAAATGTTGCCCTAATTAACCTTTAAAAATACTTACTGACAAAGCAGACCACTTCAGAAAGTCTGCTCTGCTTGTAATGTTATATTAAAATTGTGTGTGGTGGGCTGGGGAAGCACCAGTTCAGCATCTTTTGTACTTGTAATTCATTAATGCTTTTTGGAAAGGCGGGGTGGGAGAGAAATCAGAGACACCAAATCACCAATTTAAAATGCTAACCTATTTTTTTTAAGTGGGGATGGGAAGTGGTGGTGGGGATATTCAAGGGTTTTATAAAATGCTGTCTGTTCCTTCACACAAGTCTAGCCAATTACTATTGTTTGTTTATATTAAAATTGCCTATCTCCTGTACTCTAGCAAGAGGTAGACTTAAACTTTTTGCCCATGTGGTCGTGTAACTATCAAACTAATGGAAGAATACACATTCCTGTATTTGTGTAAGTTTAACTGTTTTCTCCCTCTGACAAATTATTTTTTTGTAAAATAAACTACAAAAGGGCAAGTACTAATTCTAATAGCCCTTCTGCTGCAAACAATTTAGAGGCTGCCAACAATAATCTGAACCAAATCCCAAAGAATTCTACATCTGGAAGCTCTTTCTCCTTCATTATCCTGTGCACAAGAAAATGAGGCTTATGTTACACAGAGGTTCAACTGAAGCCTGTTGTACTATAAAATGTAGTGGGAGAAAAAAACTGTATGAATCTTGTCCATGTTCAAATGTTTTTCCCCTGGGGGTAGATGTGCTCTGCATTTTAAAGTTGATTTTTCTTCCTAAGTGAAGGGCAGCTGCTTTCTTACATCAATACTTTTTCATAGCTGGGATTTTTTGGGAGGGAGGTAACAGTTGGGGGAGGATATGGGGGGGAAGAGGACATATATTTTTTTGTTCTTGCAATAGCAGAATAAAGAAAAAAAAACCTGTTTACATACTTGCAGTGAACTCAAATTCCATGTGTTAAAACTTGTGTATCCTTAAGGTTTGTTCCATGGCAGGCCACTGGACCTAACCTTTTTTTATATATAAGAACATTTGTCTAAGTTTAAAATGGTCTTAACTGTCAATTCTCCCCCTCCCTTATAGGTCTTTGAGTGAATACATTTTATCAAGACATGGAAATAACCATTTATGTATTATAGGTTACATGAGTGTCACCCTACACTTCCATCTCCATTTAGAAATCAGATTTCAAACAGTCAACAACTTACTGTTTGCAATGCCATTTCTTAATGGTGTCCTGTACACAAACTTTTAAACATTAAAGGGTAAATATGGTTTAATTTGTGTGTCAGTAACATTGTGAAATAGTGCATATTTTAGGCTAGCCTACTTTCATTAATATTTAACTGTCCAGTTAACCTTTGAAATCTCCCCTTAGGCTGCCTGTAATATGAGTTGCACTCAAATCAATGCAACCAGGCACTGCTGAACTTTTTCCTTTTCATGAACTTAAGTAACTGGTGTGGGGCATTACTTTGGAAGAGTATTTTGATAGTAAATGGAACCTATGCCTGATAGTGCCCCATTTCCATATATACTATTCTGTTTGGTCATTTCACCTGAGGTTTTTTTTTTCATTATAGCAGAAATCTTTGTCATGCCATCTGATACTTAGTATAAGAAAATTTTGTTTTGAAAGTAAATACCTGCCCCAGTTGTATAAAAGCCAGTTATTCTATAAAAAGTAGGTTAGCTTGTAGTGAGTAGAACTAGTGGATGATGCTGTGCAAGTTTCCCTGCTACCATGGATCAATCCACATCTGCAACAGTACAGTGCCTAATACAGAGTTGACCTTTTTGGTAAGCCAATTTCAATTATTTTACAATTTAGACAAAACTGTCTTCTCCACTCCTGAAGTAAAATCAGACTTAGGCACATGTTGTCCAATAAGTTGATTTTAAAGGAAAGGGTTGTTGGGGGAAGATGGTGGTATTGGTACACACCTTGTTTCAAAGGTTCAGCTGCCTGTGGTTCCCCTACTAGTATCAGTACTACTGTCAGACAAGTCATGTGTAGACTAACACCATGGTAGAGTTCCCTAGAACCTGTACATGATTGTCACCTCTAAAGAATGACAGCATATACATTTTCTACAGTTTTATTGCTATTCAAAGAACCATTCCATTTGTAATTAGTTACATGAGAAGCTAGGTGGCTAGAAGTGCAACCAACTACTTCCACAGCTCACATTTTATATATTCAAAATATGAAGGACTGTTAAGATCTTTATTAAAATTCTTATGAAGAGAAATAAAATTGTGTTAAAGTAGTATATACACCAGGAATTACTGGGCCCTTGAAATGCCTAGTTACTATAATATACTGTATATATTATATCTGACACTACCTGGAGAAAAGCCTTACATGAACTTCATATGGATGGTGCCCTTAAGAAGTGCATGGTCATTTCACCAACATGACCTGGGCCAAGCCAGCTGGGTTGGTAATAGGTGAACTCTTCCCAAGCCATTCCAGCTAGTCAACCTAATTAGTTCAAGAAGTATGATATAGTTTTGGCAAATGCACTAAGTATCTTATGGATCTGTATCCAAAAGACAAGTAGTGCCACATAATACTACACTTTGATAAGCAGGTAAGGCTTCCAGCCTAGATGATTGCCCTTGTTCTCACCACCACCCCTGTAACTGAAGTAGCAAAATAAAGCCCTTCTTTGTGCTATGATAGTATTAGGTTTGTTTTACTTCCCTCCCATCCCAAGATGCTGTATAGCTACAGCTTGTAGAAGAAAAGATTCTGCTGAAATTACATATATAAAGGACAAGTTTTACCCTTAAGCAGTTAGAACTGAGCATGTTGTATGGCAGTTTTAATCATTTAGTATTGCTGCAAGTGAATAGTCAAAATGCTGTGCACAAGAAAGGTGTGCCCAGCATTTGATTCAATAATACCTTCTTTCAACAGCAGAGGCAGCAATTCTATAAAAAAAATTAGAATAGTAAGACAGTTTTGTTTTCAGATATTTCACTGAGATTTAGTGTTCTGGTCTTCCAGCCTGGACTAGAGAAGTGGATCCATATGGGGAACCCTGTTTACATGATCAATGATGCTAAGGGTTGAATGAAGGACTTCCAGTGCAGCTGTTACCCTGGTGTACAACTATGTCCCTCCATTATAGAAGGTTTTACTGGTAGTATTAGTGCTCACTCAGGCCTTAAGTAACTTCTGCACCTGTTGAGGGTTTAGGAACTGGAAGCCACTACATACATGCATGGTGATATTGACCCTATCCATCTTTAGGAGCATTTTAATCATACAGAGATGACTTTAGAACAGATTAACAGACAACTACATATATTTCCATCAAGATTTTAATTGCAGTACACATTGTACAAAATTAAGTCAATCTTTATACTGTTTTAGCCAATACATAGACTGAAAGTAGCAGTAAGATTAAAGAAAGCTTTTGCCAGAACAAGGCCAAAATATTGTTTTCAGTGAGATGTACATGGCTATATAGCCTACTTATTTCCACTTTAAGTGCTTCTAAGTAGTCAATATTTAGATCTTAGCTATTCCAATAACACCACAAGCCAGACGACTACCAGCATTGCCAGTTTTTAAACTCTCATCATTTCCTCCTTGACCCAAGTCATCTTCTTTCTCGTGGACCTAAAGAAAAAGCGGTGTTAATTCTTAATCCATTTAAAAGGGCAAGATATTAACATTTCAACCTTTAGCCATGCAACTTAAGTGGTAGTGGTTCCCTCTGAATTCTAGTTCATATCACCAAGGCAAGCTAAGTTTGTCATCTAGTTTTTATATATTAAGTGAGGAAAGATACTTCTACTTCCCTCATGTTGCTGGAAACAGTGTCTTAGAAGTTAAGCACTTCCAGATAAGAGTTTAGAGTGAGCAAGGTTCAAATAATTCTGTGCTGAATATTAAAGTGCACCTGACTGCTCGTAAGTACTCAGCATGAGTGTCAATAGTATTTCCTTAAGAACTGGAGGTTACTCTTATGGCCAAATCGAGACTTATTTGCAAGCTCAAGTTCCAATCAAGTTAAAATCCAAATTTAGAAAAAAAAAGAGTTAGGCTTAATATCTTGGCACCATTACCCAAAAAGGGAGTATTAAGCTATTTAAGATTTAAATTCATCCCTGCCACAGGGACCCAAGCCAACAGGAAGATTTCAATAGCCAGTAGTAGGTTAAAGTATTCATAGCCAGTGCCTGTGCTGTAAACCTAATGGATGGCACAAGTCATTTCTCTGCTTGGTCAAACACTAATGCAGGCCAATACAACAGTGGTGATTTTACAGTGCACTCACAATCCAGTGATGCAACAGCATCACACCAGTTACCTTGCACAGTATATCTCCTGAACAAGAACTTTGCGTTAAGTTATAGTAGTCTACAATAGAGATCCAGAGTGACTGAATACCCAACTAAAGTGTTATGCACTAATTAGGTTAGCAGTGTCAGCATTATGTCACTCTTTACATCCTGGTTGCTAGAGTGCCTCTTGTCAAATCCTTCACTGAATCAGGTTACCTGTACTCAAACCAGTTACCTGAAAACCATGCCTAAATACTAGAGGAAGCAACGCAGAGAGTTTCCTCTAGCCAACTTTTTTTTTTAGTATCTCACCTATTGAATGAGACTTGGCCGGAGAGAGTTGGAAAGAAGCAAAAATTAAGTGAAGGAGGAAGTGAGTGAGCTTCAGAATCTAGCCTGCCAGAAGCCATCTGCCAGCCAGGAAGACACCACTTGCAGAAATCAAGTAGTTGGAGTAGTCTGTGTGACAAGTGACACCAATTCATCATGAAATCCTTTAGGTGACATCAGAAATCAGGGAAGGACTACAAATATGTAGCTCAAGAGCTCCAACATGTTCAGCATCTTCCCACCTCTTCCTTTAAGGTGCATCAAGATTTTCCAATCCTTTGAAGTGCAAGTAGATTTTAACCTTCCACCTTGAAACTGGTATCTTCTCCCCTCACACACAAGCCTTCATTATGCAACTCATACATCAAGTTGGCCATGTCTCATTTTAAATGAGGCTTCAAGTTTTGGAACTACAGTTCATGCAAGAGAACTACTACACATG